ATGCATATATATGCACCTATCTACCATGCTACCTACCTATATATATAAAATCTTTGGATTTTACATATCCAAATTTCCAGCAATTATGAGCTATGTTGTTTTCTTCAGAATTAAAACTTTGCATTCTTGGTACCAACAGGTCTTTCTCCCTCAGATTAGTTCAGTTCATCCCTTACAAGCTAGCTTACACATCACCTCTCCACAGCCTTTCTAGGGCCCCTAAGGCAGACTTAAGTATGCCCTCCTTACTACTCTTAACATATTTAGTACACAAGCAGCTTCACCCTTTCTCACCTTTCTTTTGGGATGTGTTTTTTAATATCCACAAATTCAGTCACCTACTCATATAGACTTGTCACCCATTGACTAAGGAAGTCTGTGTACAACTTTGCTGTCTGATTTTTCTAGTAACATTCTGAGCCAAGCATGGAGGTACAGGCCTGTAATTCCAGCACTCAGCAGGTTGAGGCATAAGTTCAAGCCTGGGATATATGGTGATACATTGTCTCAAAAAGCAAAACGCTTTCATCTCCCCAAAAGAACAATATTCTGAAACAGAGGAGCTCTGGTTATTAGATTTGGGTCAGACTCCTGTGAGGCTACTCCACAGAAGGCTCCCTAGTCAAACACTTTAATGTGAGGGATCTAAGTGAAGACAGTCTGGAGGAGGTCATCGGCAGTGGGACCTTGGGGAGATAACGACGAAGGTGAGTAAAAGAGACACAGTAATGTTAAAATGATTAGGGCCTATGAGGAGAATGTTGATTTCTTCTGAAAATGCTATTGTCTCACAATAGAAAAAGGATGCAGGAAGGAATGGCAAAGCATGACATATGGACATGAAGACATTTGATACTGTGAGTCAAAGTCAGCCTAATACTTGAAGTTAGAAAGAGAAGCACTGATGAATGAGGAAGAACGGATTGTATCACCGTAATGAACTTGATGATCATGTAGGAAATAACAGACATTACACTCCTGAGGGGAGTCAACACACTTTATGAAGATCCAAACAAAGTACATACAATTAGGGTCTGTTCATGGGTTGACTGTGTAATAGGACAAAATGTGCACCATCCAGATAGAACAGCATATAACAACCCGAAAGCACAAATCTCAGAATCCTAAGGAAGAAATTTTACCCCAAATAGCCAAGATGAGAGAGAGATCAATGCTGAGTGTCTCTTGTTGAGTCACAAAAATTGAGATGAATTATCAGAATACTTCCTAAGACATCTTAGTAAAGAGAGATCTTTTATCCAAGGTTTCTCTAGAACACTGGTTGTCTTGTATGGTAATACAATTAAGTATCCAGACTGGTTCAAAAATTATATCCCAATGCCTGCAGTTATGCCATACTAAGTAATGAGGGTGAGGAATTTAATCATAGCTAGTAAATGTTTGTGTGTACCCTCATCAAATACTTCTGTGAAGTGCGTGAGCCAGCAGTATTGTATGTACCACAGCGCAGTTCTCAAAGAGTGGTGCAAAGATCCTTGCCGGGCACGTGAGGTCAGAGAGTGGTGCACAGATCCTTGCCGGGCACGTGAGGTCAGAGGGTGGTGCACAGATCCTTGCCGGGCACGTGAGGTCAGGGGGTGGTGCAAAGATCCTTGCCGGGCACGTGAGGTCAGGGGGTGGTGCACAGATCCTTGCCGGGCACGTGAGGTCAGAGGGTGGTCCAGGGATGCCTTAAGGGCATGTGAAGTGTCTCCAAGACCTTTTCAAAGGATCTGCAAAGGGACACTATCTTCATATGCTTATTGATACTCGCATTAATTCCAGGAAAGCAATAGTGGGTTAAAAAACAAAACGCCTGCTGATATCTGTGCATGAATCAAGGCAATGGCACAACCTGGTAGTGATATTCTTTGCTACCATGCACTCAGTTACAAGAAAAGTCAGCTTCACACCATCAACAAAGCAGAATAAACTCATTTTATTAGTCTTCAACTGTTGAGTTCACTATGTTTTATTTTCTGTGTGATTCACAAAGCATCTCTTCTATACAGCGAGGGTGATCTCAAGAAAGATAATTTTACAACTTCCAGAATAAACTGCTTAGTTCATGGGACATTACTTAGAAAAACTAATAAAGAATAATTGTTCAGAATTGTGGTACATGTTTTCTTTGAAATTATATGAAGGGAACCTATTATTTCAAGCTGTTTTGCTTAACCACATTTATTGTGACAAAATGTCAAGCTTTCAAATAAATATTAGCATTCTAGAAAACTTTTAACTGCCTTAGGAGACTGACAGCTTTCCACATGGTATCAACACCATTAGCCACAGTGTCCAGCCACAAGATGCAGCCTGATCTTGAAAGGGACTGAAGAATGTCTACAGAAATGCGATAGGGTAGAGCTCACTGTCAGCAGAGTGAACTGGAGCTACCAGTCACCTTCATTTAGCCCAGTGACAATGAACCAGAACAGCAGTGCTGAACCAAGGCAAGGCCTGTGCCTTCTCTGTATCACTCTACCCAGTCTGAGCACCAAGAGGAGAAAAAGTTAAGAAAAGAAAAGCAGAAGTGTAAGACAAACAGAAACTACCTACCTACCCCATAGGTACCAGATTTAGGTCTAGTCTGTCCTGCAAGAAAGCGAGAAGAGTGGTGGATCAAGCCTATGACTGAAGTTTTAATATGAAGTGAACTACGTGTTTAAGACTTTATATGGGAATGACACTGAAGCATTTGAAAACTATGAAATAGTGACAAGATGCTGTTAAGGAGTTGATATCCAGTTGGAAAGGGAAGCTTGAGATGGTGTAGTTGAGAGACAGTTACTAGACAGAAAGCAGAACTGACTTGTATTTACACCTTAATGAGTTATGGCTCCATTAAGATGGCTACACGTAAGTTTCCACGTGGGTTGGTCCTTAGCTTTCCACGCCTTCATTCATCTTTTGTATAACCAATGGAAGTGAAGAGAGGCACCAGTGATGAAACCCTGCAATGAGCTCTATCTATATCTGTGACACTTAAGGCTAGAACCAGTCTTACTTTGCTCAGTCCTTTTGTTGTTTTGTCTGATAAATGCTAAGAAGAGCTGTATTTCTATACCTGGGAAGATACTATCCTAGTCACAGTTATGAATAGACAAATCAGCATCATTCATGTTGGGAAAGGCTGAATAAAGTAGTAACAGGTATTTCAAATAATAAAGTAGAGGAGATTATTAGGAACACAGCTCATAGTACAGAAATTAATTTGACACATTAGTGTCTTCAAATTTCACCTTTCAATGATTCAACCAAAAAAAAGGAACTCAAAAGGAGGCCTATCTGACAAAGAGGAACAAACTGTATTTTAAATGAACATTGTTTGCACAATACAAAGGAAGTAAAACGAAGGATCTGAAGAAAGATATTAAGAGAAAAGCAAGTGAAGGCTGGTCAGAAAGTGGAACCTGAATTGCAGCTGAACACGTAGGGTGGACAAGCATGTATGACCAACAGAACAATTCCCGAATGAATGAGGACAATAAAGTGAAGTGGCTGTGACACATTGCAATATTATACATACCGAGACTGAACTGCGGGCAATGCTCATAAATCTAACTGCAATTAGTACAGGTTTCTGGATTAGGAAGGACATGGAAAGGAAAGCAGAAGGTTAGAGTGTACATTTCATTGCCCCACTTAAAGAGAAGGCTCATTTCAATGGATCCAATATGTCCATCTTCTGTAGCATTGGCAAAAAAGGCACAGCTGGTCTGGATGGTTTGAAAGGTAGCTTTATGGTGAATAGCTCTTCCCTTCATTCATTTCTAGATGGGCATTACTAAATTGAGCCTCTCAGACTAAGCTCCTGGAAATTCATACCACAGAGAAGTTTCACTTTATTTTGTGGTGCCAAGGATCAAACTCAGGGTTTATGCCTGCTAGGCAAGCACTCTACCAAATGAGCTCTACCTCCAGGCCCAAGTTTCACTTTTAGGTAAGGTTTCTGATTTCAACTTCTGGGGAAAAGATTTAGATAGTGTCCTATGATGAACTTTACTTAATAGCTTTAATATACGGTAAAAGGCTATACTAGTTTGTTTTTGGAGAAGACCTTTCACTAACTTAATCTAAAGACCTTTGCTGAGCACTTATTCTGTGCCAGGCAGTTCAAATAGTAAAATAAGAAACAGGGTTACTTCAGTGCCAACGAAAGTCTAAACTGTGAAGATGTGGAGCAAGTATTGCTGGGCCCCTGGAAAAGTACGGGTGTGATGGATGATGAGGAAGCCTGCTTCTTTTAGAAACTTACTAGGGATCCCAAGTGGGTGTCCACTGCCGCGGTTTTATTTGACACTAAGAGGAAGGGTGACAAATGAGCAATAATTAAACTTCAATGCAGCACTTGCTTTCCAGGTCTGCCAATCCTATTGCCTATTATAGTCAGTAATAACTGAAGTTTCCTATATACCCAGGTCATTGGTTACAATGGAAGATAGTAAATGTAAAACTGAGTAAATGAAGGAAATAAATTACCACTGATTATACTTATCTCAAAAACCTAACAATAAACCCTTAAATATATCTTTGGACTCATAGATGGAATTCCATTTCCTTATGAACTGAATGTTTCCATTTCCTTATGAAATGAATGTTTTAGTTCAAGTTCAGTTGCAAATGATTTGAGTTCTCTACTCCCAGGAATCTTGGCAGGACCACCAAAAATGACATGGCTGAAGGTAGGATCAGATGGTGGAATGAAGCAGTAGAGAAAACAGAAGATTAAGTTTTTATAAGAGAATAGGAAAAGTAAACAAGGCAGATTATTAAGCTACTTGATTTAAAAATTGTGTACATTTAATCATATAATCTAAACACATAACTAAAATGAGCAGACACTTCAAATGTTAGGTATCCATAGCACCCTGAAGAGTTGGTGTTTTTTTAAAAATTTGCTCTTTCTTAGAATAATCCCTATTTACATCACAAACACCCACTTAAAATCCTAGGAAGGCTCTCATTTTTGCCCTGTGAGTTCATGTCTTGCATCTTACCATAGATCTGCGAATCAGTGACAGCCTAGTCTTTGCCTTATTCTCAGCAAATTCCAGGCTACTGATGTCTTTGAGACGAGCCTTGTATTTACTCATTTGTTCCACAACAATCAGCTCCACACAGCTGAAACAGGAGGAAGAAAACTGTTAAGAACAGAAGTGAATCAAATAAAGTGCAAGCACCCACAGACTATTAGTGTCATACACACTTGGCAGATGAAGGAGAAACCAATATTCCTTACTTTTTGAGCTCACAGTCAAAGTTTAGAATGGTGCTTCACAACTTCAGCTACACTTCAGAAACCATCTGAGCAAGTTACAAATCCAGTGACCAAGCTATACCCCAGACTTCCTGGGGATGGGATTTTTTTCAAAGTTTCTTTTGTTGTCAAGTTTTAGAAGGAAAGTACAGGCCCAAGAAAAAAAGGCATGTTAAATATAAGAATGCTAGCATATTATGACAAAGGGATTCAGAGTCATAAGACCATAGGGAGACTCAATTACAAGAAAATACAAAGTGTATATTGATTTGATAAAATGGAATTTTTAAAAAATTTATTTTGAAACTATAAGCAGTACAAAAGAAAAGCTGGATTTAAAAAATAAGACCCACCAGCCAGGTATGGTGGTATATCCCTATAATCCCAGCACTCAGGAGGTTGAGGCAGGAGGATCACAAATTTGAGGCTAGTCTGGGTCACATAGCAAGACCATATCTTAAAAACTCAAAAAAATCCTTGAGAACTAATGATGTTCAGTTGAATGGAATCTAAAAGTTTACATCCTCAATATAGAAGTACCCACTCACAACATGTGATATTTGGATAAAGTGACTACACCAACTCAGTCAGAAGTCCCTGAAGTCCTGCAGAGGTGATGGTAGATAGCCTTACGTTGTAGTCTTACTGATATCCTGTACACTTTGCAGTGGGTCAGTGGTGTCAGGGCAGCGTAGAATGCAGGGTGCAAACACAATGGCCAAAGCATTAGCAGACATTCGATTAGTGTCTTCCTGTAGAGCAATCCTAAGTAACAAAATAAAACAAAAACAAGTAAAAGGGGGATAAAAAGGGAGAACAGTAGACAGAAGAGATAAGAGAAAGAACACAGCATAGTATCAGCTACATAGTCCTGGAAGAGTATCTTCATCAGTTTAAGGGAGACACTATAGACTACTGTACAAAGGAGTACTGTAGCTACTCCATTGCCTCTGGAAGATGTACTTTCATTGTGCCCTTCACACAGTCCAGGTCATAGGCCAGCAGATAGTACACCAAGGGAAATTTGTATCCACTGCCTAAGGCTGATGTCAATAGATGAACATGTCTGAAGAATGCAGGGCAGAAGCTTTAAGACATTTTTAAACATATAAGATATTTAACTAGAAACACGGCTTTCTTCCAAATTCCTGCTATTTACACACAAAGGGCAGAGAGACTACTCTGAGGTCTCTTTGGTCAGTCATTCCTGAGCCCAGTCTGAATCCCTACTGCAAATTCAGTTCAATGTCAAGAGATACACATCCTTTCTAGTTCAGGAGTTAGGAAAGAGACTACACTACACATGCCACCATGAGGCCAGAGCTGCTGTATGACCCAGGCAGGTGAGAGAAGCAGCTGCCAGGCAGTGGAGCTTAGATGAGGATTTCTGCTGCAAAAAATCCTAACCACCTGTTAGAGGCATTGGGGTTTTTCTATTTGTTTGTTTGGCACTGCTAGAGAACCCAGGGTTTCCGGCATGCTATGCAAGTGCTCTACCACTGAGCTACAACGCCACCTGAGGCACTGAATTTACAAATTGAAGGAGCTCAGAAACTGTTAAATAGTTTCTTGCTTCTTGAAGTTACCTAACTAGATGAAAGATGAGGCGTTCCAGAGTATTGAGGTGAGTTCGGGAGAGCTGGTCGATCACAGAGTATACACCACGGATTGTCTCCTTCCTTTCCTGAAGGCCTAAAAACACAAAGAGAAGCAAGTAAAACCGAATACCCCTCTTGTGTGCTACATCTTCCTCCTGAACAGACACTAAGTCAGAGGGGAGGCTTGCTCTACAATTTTGGGAGGGGCAGTTGTATCTGTGTGGCATCTCATGGCTAGTACTTGGTTCCCTGTACTTGGGTTTTGTATTTACAAGCAGTTCCCTGAATTTTAGTCTCTATCTCAGCAGTCCTCAATTACAGCAAGAAGAAGCAGAAGCTCTAGTTTTTCAGCCACTGTGTGGCAGACTGATTTCTCATTCACATAATTTATAAATCCTCAGGGCTTAAGTACCTCCAGGCAGACCTTCAGCAATGTGCTACACAATGGAGCACTGGGAAACATGTCAAAGTCTTTTGGGCCTGGCCTAAAATAGACAAGGCAGGCTTACACACAGCTCTTGCCTAGATTCACAATTGGAAAGAATATAAACCTACTCTTAAATTCCTGCTTAATCTTCTAATCTGCTTTATAATGCTAGTCTACTTGTGAGAAGCAACAAAGTGGCTTACTCAGAAAACTTCTGAGTCTGTAAGAAGTCCACATTGTTTTTCTTTTGTGGTACTGAGGTTTCAACTCAGGGTCAACACCTTGAGCCACTCCACCAGCTCCACCCCCCCTTTTTATGTGATGGGTTATTTTTTTTTTTTTTTTTTTTGAGATAGGGTTTTGGGAACTATTTGCCATGGCTGGCTTTGAACCATGATCCTCTTGATCTCCACCTCCTGAATAGCTAGGATTACAGACGTTGAGCCACCAATGCCTGGCCAAGAAGTCAACATTTGAAGCTGTGTGTGGTGGTACACACCTGCAATCCCAGCATTTGGGTGAGGCTAAGGCAGGAGGATCTTGAGTTATAGACCATCCTGGGCTACATCCTGTCTCACAAAAACATTAAAAAAAAGCCACATTTGAATAGGTGACAGTACACTGGCAGTTTTGTAGTGAGTGTCAAAAGCTTACCTTAGGAACTATAAGTACTAAACCACTAGAAAATGGCTTAATAACAGATACTTAGAGATGGCATTCCTTTTTCAAATATAAGACTTCCCTCTATCCGAGGAAGCCTGTGCTTACCCATAGCTCGAAGAAATTCCTCATAGAGTTCAAAGGTCATGAGTGGATTGGGCAAATCACGAAGCCATTGTTTGAAAACGCTTGCAATGACATGTATATTGTAGTCATCTAGGTTTACACTTTCAGCATCTATTTAAGAGACAAGAGTTAGATAAGGAAACCAAAACATGCCAAAAACAATTCAAACAATTCACTTTAGAAACTATCATCTCTAAAATGAACCTTTGTGTTTCTTAATCAAGCTGACTAACTTATTTTTTCCACAATCTGATTCTGTGCTTTGAAACAGAGCTTCTCACTGTGGTAAAGGAACAGTGTTCGTGTTTGCTTTCCAAATCTGTGTAAAAGTATCAAAGTGCTACAAATGTTTCTAAATGTTTGTTCTCGATTTTTGTACCTGTCTTGTTGTGGACTGGTACACAGATCACAAATTGAGTAGCAATGCTTTAGGAGACAAAGGGAAAAAAGCCTAAGAGACATTTTTTTTTTAAAGCAAGGCTGACTAACTTATTCTTAAATGACAAGCAGTGACAGATGAGCTTAGGAAATGTGAAGGAACTATCTTCACCCTGTTTCACATATAAGTGGTGATGGTTATACAGATTAGATGATTGATGTAGGATGAATAATTATTTGTGCTGCCCTAAGGTACAAGACACAAAATTGACAACTGTCCATAAACTGGAGCAGACCAAGCCTCTGGTAGACAGAACTTCCCACTTGAGTTTTACCAGCATTTCTGTTGTTATTTTCATACCAATTCATTTCTCACTGATTTGTTCCTAAGAAACAGCACTGTGGGTATGTAGGTTCTTTGCCACACATAGATAAGCAATGTACTTTAGTTTGTTTCAAAAAGAACTATTTCTTTCTAACACTGAAAAAGAGTAGCAGCTGAGAATGAAACCAAAGGCAATGTCCTACATACATTCCAGGACTCATACCAAACTTCTATACATCCAGTTTAAGTAATTATGTCATCAGTTCATGAAGGCAGGAAGCTGCCCTGGAAAGAGTACCACTTGGAGCCAGAATAATAAAAACTAACAGGCAGAAGCTTAAGTTATGGATTCAGAAGATACCTGGTTAAATTCCAACTTGATCACTTATTGGTAAAGAGTAGGTACATAAGATCCTCTGGAAGCTCGGTCTCTTTATCTCTAAATAGGGATGATAATATCCCTGATTCATAAAGCTGTTGTGAAGACTATTATAAAAAATCATTTAGCACAGTACCCTGCATCATCAACAGCCCATTATTTAGTTCCCCTGAACTTAAATTTACTTCTTCACAAACCACCAGATTGTAAACAGTTTAAGTGAGATATGTCTCATGTACCTAACGATGCTTTGGACAAATGATACACTCAATGCATGTTGGATGCATTAACCAAAGACTCTTTGAAAGGCCTGAAATCTCTCTCTCTCTCTCTCTCTCTCTCTCTCTCTCTCTCTCTCTCTCACACACACACACACACACACACACACACACACGGACTGTATTCTTTTGGCTCTAAATGATATGTAATGAAAACGTTAAGAGCCTGGAATGACTTATTATGGAGGGCATTACCTTACCTGTATCTAGACCCTGTCGGAGCTCCTTGATCTTATTGGTTGAACCAGACTTTCGGTAAATGCCTTCTGTATAAAGCCCATGCATTTCAATGTAGTTTATGAGCTTCTCAACCACTAAAGGAACAGTTCGGTCTTCACTAGTCAAGCGGGACAGTTCAACCCCGAATTGTCGAGATGACAGCTCTGGATCACACTAAATGGAAGATAACTTTTTGTTTCTAAAGCATTCAAACATCTTAGTCAACTCTTTAAAAAGGAATTAATTTTACTTCCCTGAAGTTTTATGAAGATAGTTGTAAGAGTTGGGAGGAAAGTTGGTTAAATAAGAATAAATGAGATACTTCTTTCTAACCTTTCCCACTGGGAATCCACAAGACACAATGAGCAGAGAATGGAGGGAGTGGCAATGGGCTGCGGCTTCCTTCCTGTTCAAAACCTTTGGAAGCAAAGTTGAGCTTGGGTGTAGGGGAAGGGAGCTGAATTCTGTATGCAGAGAACATGAGCATTTACCAGGCACTGAGTGGCCATGATTAGTGCTACAGAACATCATCAATTTTATCAAATGTTCCAGGTGCATACTTGGCAACTGTAGGATGCAAGGCTCAATACAAACCAACTGTATCAAGATTTTCATCCTTATTGAAATTCTATCTACCAGGTATTAAAGCCCTAATAGCAGAGGCTTAGAAAAGTTAGGGTTATCATATCTCCCTGATAGGCTGACCCTTTCATCACTTTGAACCATCTTTCTAGTAAACAGTGCCTCTTGGCTTAGAGTGACTTTAATACCACCTCTCTACTGCTCAGTCCTTGCATGCTGCATTCTTTTCCTTTCAAACTTTCTACCTCTTCATAATTAAATTTGTCTCTTATGAACAGGACACTTTTTTTTTTTTTTGCAGTACCAGGTCTTAAACTCAGGGCATGCACCCGAGCCACTCCATCAGCCCTTTTTGTGTTAGTATTTTTAAGATCGGGTCTTGTGAACTATTTGCCCAGGTGGGCTTTGAACCTCGAACCACCTGAGTAGCTAGGATTATAGGTGTGAGCCACTAGCGCTAGGCTAGGGCTGAAAATCATTTCAGTATCCTAGCCTAGTGGCTAGGAATGGTTTTACTTAGTTTTTTATTTGAAATACTTAGCCTATGACATGTAAATCACCAATATACTTGAACTTCATCAATCTATTTATTTTCTTTTTGCTCAATCTGTTTTATGTTTTCCTTTCCTTTCTTGCCTTCTTTTACAATAATCGATTTTTTTTACTTAACTGTCTTTGTCTTTCCATTATATATTCTTTTACTACATTTTTTTATTTATTTCTTATTTATTTATTGTACTGGGGTTTGAACTCAGGCCACATGCTTGTTGGACAGGCACTCTACCACTTTAGCCACTGCACCAGCCTTTTTCCTACATTTTTGGTGCTTACTTTACAAATTAAAACTATGTGTATTTATATTACACATATTATCTACTCTTTCCATTGTTCTTCATTCCTTTCCATACTTTTGTCTCCACCTCAGCCCATTTTCTTTCTGCCAAAGACTCTATCATTTCTCTTAGTACAGGCCTACAGGTGATGATTTCTGAGTTTTTTGCTGGTCTGAAAATGTTTCCACATTTTTACTTTTTTTGGCAGCACTGGGTTTTGAACGAAGGGCCTCACACTTACAAGGGAGGCACTCTTGTTGCTTAAGCCATTCCACCAGCCAAGACTTTCACTTTTGAGCAGGACTTTCACTAGGTACATTGGGGTGGGTTTCTCATAACACTCAAGATGCCAAGCCACTATCTACTGGTTTCCGTCATTTATTTTCAGAAGTCATTATCACTCTTTTCATTGTTCCTTTAGGTAATGTTTATTTTTTTCCCTATGCTTTTAAGACATTTTATTTTTCTTTTGTGTGGCGTACAGGGCACACAGGTGTGGTTTCATTTGTATTTGCCCCATTTCAAATTAAGCGTGCTTCATTTATTTGTGACTTGACATATTGATCATTATTTCTTAAAATGTTGCTCTTGCCTTTTTTTCTCCCCTTTATTCTTAGACTCCCATTACACACATGTAAGAACCTTTTGTACTCCCTCATATTTCTGCACTTTCCCACTCTTTTTACTCTCCCAAACCTTGGTATTTCCATTCAACCAATCTTTCAGTTTACCAATCTTCTGTTCTGCTGTGGCCACTAAACTCTTCTGAGGTTATCATTTCAGCTGCATTTTTGCATTTCTAGAATTTCCTCTTGATTCATTTAAAATACATACTTACATACATATACTTACATACATATACTTAGATTCTTTGGTAAACTTACCTATCTTTTTATCTATTATTTGAACATGTCCATTAAAAAATTTAAACTATGTATCTGGTAACTCAGAACAAGTTATGTATAAGTATTTTCATTGCTTATTTATTAATTAATCCCATTTACCTTTGATATTATATATGAAAAAATTATAAAGGCTCTGGATGATGTTATCTCTCTTTAGAGGGGGTTTGCAATGTTTTCTTTGATGGGTGGCTGGAATAAGGGACAGATCACCTTAATCCAATTAAGGGCCACCTCAAAGCTACTGTGTAGTTTTTGTTAAGCTTAGTCTATCAATGGTTCACCCTCATTCATAGCTGTAATTAGTGAGAGGTTAATTGGTATAATTACTGAGAATGTGGGGTATTTATTGACTGGGGTCCTTCCTTTTGGTGGCTGCTACTACAATTCCCATTTCTCTTTCCTTAATACTATTAGACTGGAAAACGCTAATCTTTTCTGATTAGTTTCACAACCATTGCTATGTACAGCTTAACAGTTTAAAAAAAAATGCCTTGAGGGGAAGTTTTAGGCTTACTTCTCTAATGAATGAATCCAATCCCTCACGTCCTAGCAGTTCCAAACTCCAATTTTTCTCTCAATAGTCCTGAGATTGCTAGAAGCTCAACTGGTTTCTTTTGTATATATTCTCCTTAAATATAGTTCTGTTCCCAATACACTGGTTTCTCATTCTACAACAAAAATCAGAAAACTCCCACTAGGAGAAAAGCACCTAATGGATACAGAGTTCACTACTCTGCATGTGTTCCTCTATAGGATCATGTCTCTAGAAGTCTAATTTACCTGGACAGCTGATGCTGGCCAACAAACTCTTTTTAGTACTGGTCTGCCACAATCTACTCCATCTTAGCTGGAAGAAAATGTTTCACTTTCCCTGGATTTTAAATTCTGAATTGAATGTCTCTCTCTACTTTGCCTTGATTTGTCTACTGATTTTGAACAGGTACAAATTTTAGACATAGGCTGTAACATATGCATACACACTTATATTACAGTTCAAATTTGCACAGTGTAACAAGAAAGCCATCCAAGAGGCCTTGATTTCTTCTCAGGGGGCACAAGACTAGAGGATCTGCTTTGTACTACTCACAGGTGACAGCTTCTTACCTTCTTGGAGCACATGGCTGTGGTCTTCAGACAGCACTTCTTATGACAAGCATACTTACACACTGAAAAACAGGAGGAGAATACAGCAATTTACAAGTCTACAATGCAAGAACTTACTAACTTTATAAATTTATTTTGGATACAAGTTTCAAGTTTTTTCTTTAGACCCTAGATTACTGCTAAAATGTCATGTGGGTGACATATATATGTACTTTGTACTGTGGTAACAATTAAAAATGATTCTAAGCCACTCTGTTAGGAAAAAATGAAGCTGAAAAGTGCACCGACATCTTTAGTCTCTGTCAATGAAAAAGCTTTTTATACTTTCAAGATCACCTATCCTGCATCTCTACTTGTCCCTCCCCCAACACACACGAAACTAACACACACATAAATTCCAAACTCCACAAAGACAGATTCCAATCTGTCTTTACAAATTAGTGTTCATGTTCTCCCAGGTGCTTTCTAACTACTATAATGCCAGAAATACATAATTAGAATGATTTCCATGGGTGGATAAGAGAAGCATCACTGTCAATGTAATTTCTGTCTTACTGATAAGAAAGCAAAGTAGGCAGTTCATTGAAATGCAGGAAAGCCCTTATTTCTTGTCTTTAAAAGCTCAGGACAGAGCTTTGAGGAAAAAGAATATTAAAGAGAACATCAAGTATGAGTAGGAAGATGAGGTGAAGAAAAAGGCCGGTGGTAGACAACAGAACAGCTGGGCAGCTGGTGAGCAGGAGGTGACACTTGAAGGGAGGATCCTGAGAACTCAGCTGCACCAGCTCTGGCTCCTGTACGCCAACAGTTGAATATCCTTCCTTGAACTTCTAATATGTAACTTTTCTGATTTTCAAAGCCCAGAGCACATGTCTATGATCTTCAGACAGCACAGTAGGGGAGACCAGGCCATTATACTAGTGAAATCACCAGGATGATCAGAGAGATAGTTAGTTAATCCCATGAAGAAATCAACCAAAGTTCATCTCAGTCATGAAAAAGTAAATTCTTTAGGCCTGAAGGCTTAAGTCACAGAAGAAATTATTTCAAACCTTCAAGAACTGAACTAACAAAAAGGTACATTTCAAACTACTATTTTTTCTTTTTCTTTTTTTTTTTTTTTTTTTTGGTGGCACTGGGATTTGAAGTCAGGACCTTGTGCTTGCTAGGAAGGTGCTTTACCCTTTGAGCCATGCCCCTAGACATTTTTGCTTTAGTTATTTTCAACAGTCTTGTGTTTTTGCCAGGCCAGCCTGCACTGTGGTCTTCCTATTTTTGCTTCCTGCATAGCTGGGATGACAGGTGCTCACCACCACACTGAGCCTTGCTGTTGTTGCTGTTGAGATGTAGGTCTTGCTAATTTTTTTTGCCTGGGTAGTCCTCAAACCACCATCCTCCCAATTTACACCTCTTGAGTATCTGGGATTATAGGTGTAAGTCACCACACTGAGCCTGAAAACTCATTTCCATTTTCATTCTCATTATAATTTTTTAAAGTACTAATAAAAAAATGAAAAGAAGTGCTTGCTTTGGTAGTACACATACTAAATTTGGATACAGAGATAAGTATATGACCCTTGTGCAGGGTGACATGAATCCATGAAGCATTCTGTTTAAAAGAAGAAAACTGCTATGACCCAAACTATAAGTAAACACACTTAGGAATAGCGGTGATTTTAGTATGGCAAAAATGATTTTTATCCTTGTTGCCAGGCTGGATCCAGTCCTACTAACATTTCCTTCATTCAGTTCTGGGCCACTAGTAAAAGTAAAGTCTCCCAGAACTACTGATGACAGCAGAGTCGGTGTAAGAAATAAGGACAGTGGGAATTAAAGGTCCAATGCAAGGTAGAATCAAGTTGGCTACAAAGAGTCTCTACTCACGTTTTAGGATTTATACATTCTATTTAAAGGATTATAGTATAAAATGTACTTTTTTGCCTATAATCTAAGAATTCATTCATCAATCCATCCAGAGGTCTACATAACCAAATACTATTTATTATAACTTACTATGTGCTGGGACTGTTCAAAGCATCGAGGTAACACAGAGACAGACAAGCTTCCTCACATTATTAGGGCATGTACTCCAGTAGGACAGACTGACAAACAAGAAAATACTTCATAGAATTTCAGGTTAAGATATATGTTATAAAGATTATTAAATCTGAGTAATGGGATAGAGAATCAAAGGCTAGAGGGGCATTTTAGATAGCAAAAAAAGAGCTCTTTGAGGAGATGACATGTTAGAGAAGATGAATGAACTGAATAGGACATCAGACTAAACCTGGAAGAGAATCAAATTAGACAGGGAGCTGCCAGTACAAGACTCTTGGTGACTACAGAAACCAAAATACCTTGTCTAGATACAGAAAGTAGGTGAAGACCAGTACTACAGCAAGATGAGGCTAAAGAATCAAGCAGTATCAATTACTATTTTATGTTAAGGAAGACATAAAAATGCTCAAGAAACAGAAATGTCAAGTGGTTAAAAATATTCCTCAAAGATCTCTCATGCTTACATTTACAAACAGAGGCTCGGTCCATTATCCATATCAAAGAAGAGCAGTATTCACAGTATGTAGGGATGCTATACTGGGTAGCCTTAAAGATGTGCCCATTGTGCTCTTCCACCTGAATGGAGACATTTAAGTATTTATATTAAAGCCAATACAGTACTGCTGCCCTAACATGACTAAGCAGAAGGGAAATCCTTCAAATGCCATTATTCCAGGGGGAATTATGATACTTTGAGAAATAAAATATATGGTCCTAGCTTCAACAAAAGCTAACAAGCTAGGTAATATGACCAAGGCATATGAAAGAACAATGTAATACAACAAACATACAACAGCTGTCTCATGTGACTCTGGGTCAGCATGTTTAATTAAAAGCAGCAGTTCTCAATTTTTTTTTTTTTAACCTCAAGGAACCTTTTGCGCTCTTCAAAATTACTAGTCTCAGAAAAGTTTCTGTTTACATGAGCTATACATATTGGTATTTATTGTGTTAGAAATTAAAATTGAAAAAATTATTTATTCATTACTTCACTTAAAATTGACATAAGCAAATTACGCACTAACATAAACAGTATTTTAAAGTAAGACACTTCTATGTTGTTTGGTTTTGTTTCTCTCTGTATAATTTGAGACAAGTTCTGGTTAACAGCCCAGGTTTGGCAGGAACTTGTGATCCTTCTCCTCAGTCTCCTGAGCGCTGGGATCCCAGGTGTGCCCCAAACCCAGATGAAAGACAACAATATCCTTCAAACAGAAACACTAGAGACAAAAGCAGTATTATTCTATATTTTTGTAAGTCTCTTTAATCTTTAACATCTGGCTTAACAAAAGACACCTAGATTCTCAGTACTTTAGTTCTCAATCTACTGTACTATGCAGTTTAGTTTGGAACATATGAAGAAAATTCAACTTCACATGGATATGAAACTGGGAAAAAAAAAAAAAAAGGAGTGATATTTCCCTTCCCTTCTCTCCCTTCCAGTAGTACTGGGATTTAAAATCAGGGCCTCCTACTTGGTAGGCAGGTGCTGTGCCACTTGAACCACACCTCAAATCCTGTTTGCTTTAGCTGTTTTTTGTTTTGTTTTTGGCAGTACTGGGGTTTGAACTCAGGGTCTTATGCTTGCTAGGCAGATGCTCTATCACTTGAGCCATATCCCCCCTGGCCTACTTCATTTTTCAAAAAGGGTCTCCCATTTACACCCAGGCTGGCTTGGACCACGATCTACCCATTTATATCTCTCATGTGGCTGGGATGAAAGATGAAGGCCACCACATCCAGCTTATTGGTTTGAGATGCGGTCTTGCTAATTTTTTGTCCTGGCTGGCCTTGAACTGCAATCCTCTCAATCTCTGCCTCCTGGGTAGTAGAGGATTACAGGTATGAGCACCAAGCAGAATAAGTATTTTAACAGTCCTTTCAGACAGTGGTACTACACCAGCACTTTACAAATGGTAATTTAAAGGTTAACTAAAATACGAAATAAAGAACCATGCCAATGAACTTCTTATTACATGTGGCATTCAGATCTACTGTTTCAGGCTTCATTGAAATTTATAATTTGGCATGGCAGCACACATATGATATGTAACCCCAGCTTACTGGGAGGCAGAGGTTGGAGAACTGAAAATATGAAACCCAACTTGGCAATGTTAGGGAGACTCTGTCTCAAAAACGAAATACAAACAAAAGGGCTAGGGCATTGCTTACAGGGCAGAACATGTGGGAGACTGGGGAGTCAACCCCCAGTACCAAAAAAAAAAAAAAAAAAAAACCCAAAACAACACAAACTAAAAAAAAAGCAGAACATCCCCCAAACTTTAAAATTTAAAAATTTAGCCTTCAAAGACACCACTAAGAAAAAAAATAGAAAAAATATTTTCCATTTGTGTATCAAAAATCTGATGGACTTCTATCCAGAATAAAGAAATGTTACAACCCAGTAAGACACCACAATTAAAAAATGAGCAACATATTAAACAAATATTTCCTTAAAGAAGTAAAAATGATCAATAGACACATGTAAAAGATGCTTACCACCAGTAGCCCCGAGGGAAATGCAAATTAAAACACAAAACAATATCACTTCATACCCACTAGAATGGCCAACACAAGAAGATACACAAGAACAAGTGTCGTTGAGGACACTGAGAAACCGGAGGGAGCTCTCAGGATATCACAGGTAGCAATATAAAGTGGTGCCATCATTTGGAAAACAGTTTGATGGTTTCTAAAAATTTTAACCAGAGTTATATAACCCAGAAATTATACCCTCAGGTTTATATCTAAAAGAACTGGAAGTATAAGTCCACAAAAACCTGTGCATGAAGGTTCACAGCAGCGCTATTCACAATAGTTAAAAATGTAAAACAGGGCTGGCAGAGGGACTCAAGTGGTGAAGTGCCAACAAACAAACAAACAAAAAAGCAGAACAATCCAACTGGTGACAGGTTAATTAAAATGTGATTTATGGGCTGGGACGCAGCTCAGTGGCAGAGCATGTGCCTAGCATGTGCAAGGCTTTAGGTTCGATCCCCAGCACCACAAAAAGAAAAAAAAAGTGACATGTGCATATAATGGAATTCTATTCGGTACCAAAAGAGGCTAAACTACTGATACAACAGCATGAATGAACCTCAAAAACATTATGTGCCAGGCATCAATGGCTCACACCTATAATCCTAGCTACTCAGGACAGAGATCAGAAGGATCGCGGTTCAAAGCCACCCAGGCAAATAGTTCATGAGGAACTGTATCTTAAAAATATTCAACACAAAAAAAGGGTTGGTGGAGTGGCTCAAGGTATAGAGCACCAGACTAGCAATCATGAGGCCCTGAGTTCAAACCCCAGTAGTGCCAAATTCCATCAATTAGAAGACCTAGTTAGAAAAGAGATCATATTTGTACCATTATGAGAAAATGTTTTCAGTTTTCTGCCATAAGAGGAAGTCACCACTGAAAACAAGTCTGGTCACTGAATTCTGGGCATATCTGTCATCCTCAACTTTGTAAAGACATATGTGAGTACTCCTAACAGCTGATAAACTTATTCCCTAAATACAGCCACAGACATACAGTATAATATGTTTCAAGCCACTGATAACTTTATGGTTATATTTACTATGTTTTATGACGTAAAAAGATTATATATAACTTACCAAATCAGTTTCTTTTTTCCTTCTTTTCTTTCTTTCTGTTTTTGGTGCCTGGCAGGAGGTGGGGAGATATATGGAAATTAACATAACAAAGACTAACATACTTTCTTACTTCTTTATAAATGTTAAGCTATTTGTTCAACAGGTAATAAAGAGCTCTTTATTCTTCAAGAGGAACTGTGCAGTACACTAAAGTAAATTTGAGAAAATGTTTGTTTGGGAAACTGCAGTGCTCTTTTAAAATCTGAGTTCTGTCAAGAAGCCACACTATTATTAGCTAAAATGATTATTTAAATTATTTGGTAAATGGCTAATTGTAAAGATTTTATTTTACACATTTTGTCTCGAGAAAACTGTCTACTGCAGAGCTAAACATAAAAAGGTATCATTTGGGACATGGAAAAGTTCTTTTACATGTAACATTTCCTGACACCCATTGCACAGAATAATCTAAACCAATCCCTTATAAGCAAAGGCAGTGTAAGCCTAGTAAGAATCTTCTGCATAAAATAAAGACTTTCAGCCAGATCTACAATAGAAGAACCCTCAAGGACTATCTACTTAAAAAGTGATTCTAGATGGCTTGAAAATCTAAATTCATAGGAACAAGAATGATCAGAAATAGAATGGAGACTAACCAACACAAAAAGATATTCCTGATGTGAACAAATACCTAATTGCCTCATCTGCAGTAATGAAGAGAGTCCCACTGATGACTCTGTTTAAACCTGCTATCTCTTCTGTAAAATGGATTCCACGGTAGTTATTTAATAATACAACTCACCGCTTATAATATGTACATTATTAGGGATACTTAGATTTCCTGAAACACATATTTTTCTAAAAACCATTTCAAGGGGAAATATAATTTGTAACTGCTTATGCAAAGGTATATATGCAAAGATAATATAATGAAACTTATCTTTAACCACTATTTTTCAAATGGAAATTCAAGTACCGATCTCCAGAAAATAATCTTGAGGCACAACATTAAATTTTAACTCTATGAAGAATGTATTCACTGCAGAGTTTAGGAAACATGGCCAACAAACTTACTAAGACAGAATGGAGTTTAGAGAATCTAAAATAATGCTATACTGACATATTCTCTGTAATGCTTTTCTCAAATACAGTGTGACCTAAACAGACTCTTAACAAAGAATTCATAGTTCAATCCCTTAGAAATCAAAATAGATCACACTTACCTTTGTGGTTGTGCTTTCAGAAGTCTTGAATTCATTCATGTATTCATCTAAAAATACCTTGAAAGTATTGACCCAAACTCTCACTGGAGATTCACTCCAATCACGCTGCTCGAGCCTCATTGTCTTTTCCAGAATCTGTTCAAACAGTGCGTAGAGGTCTTTATATCGTATGCTTTTCCCATCATCCATCTAATAAGAAGAGAAGAAATGTACGGTTTTATGAAGCAATTCTTTATTTTTTTTAAGAAATTTACACAGTCCAAAGCCTTTTATTTTTTGACATCCTTCATGCCATGAATTCATATGGAATAGGTTCCAGCAGCTCAGGCTCCTTTCCAGTGGTTCTCACAAAGTGTGCTTCTCTGGGTGGAGCAGGCTGGCGCTTCAGCTGAACCCAGGTTCCTTTGTCTTTGGCTTGCTTCTTGTTCTGATCATTTTCCTTCACGCGTTTCAGGAAGCCATCTCGGCTCTCTGAGTGCTTAATGTGCTCAGTACGCACACTACTTCTCTTGGCAAGAATCTCGCCCTTAACTTGCCTGTTCACAACAATGCCAGCAGCGTGCTGGGTGACACTGTAGACTCTTCCAGGTCTGCCGTGGTAACATTTGTGGGGCATTCCTTTTTGAACAGTGCCCATGCCCTTGATATCTACTATATCACCCTTCTTGTAGATTCGCATGTATGTGGCCAAAGGAACAACTCCATGTTTCCTAAAAGGCCTAGAAAACATGTATCGGGTTCCTCTCCTCTTTCCCTTTGTGTTTGTCATTTTGGTGGATTACTGGAAGATGGCGGTTCCGCATGAAGCAATTCTTTAAATACAGAAGAATGATTAAACTTATATTGGGTGCTATTTACAATAAGGGTTAGGATCCTGACATACTTCATATTGAGCTTATCAGGTCTTTGTGTGCTCCCACTATAGTATGAAATCCAAGCAGAATAAAAGACCTAACAGTCTAAAAATGTCATAATTAAGCAAGTCCTGAGAACTGCCCTCTAAAGTCTGGCTCTGTAATTTTATTTACCTGTAAGGATTACTTACAACCTTCTTAACTGCCAATCTTACCATAAATGTGTCTTATTTAGACAGTTCTAGTCTAAAATTAAAAGAATGTATACTTGGATCTTTGCCTAATGATACATTAAATAAGCTCCTTTATTTTATTTTTCTGAAGAAAAGTGACATGCTCTGCAAAACCTCATATTACTTGTGAACAAATCAAAATGCACTTGTTTTTAGTTTATTTAATTGAGATCTGGAGTCTTTATAAGAAAAAAAAAGAGAGATTTTAAGTGACCAAAAAGTATGTACATTTACAATTAATTTCATTCCTCATATTCACTGATCTTTTTTGATTCAGTGTTAGAAAACCACTACCAGACACTGCTTCATAATTTTGTCTCTGCTGATGTGATCTGAAGCACAATGGAGAATTTAACACTCCTGAGTCCTTAATCTAGGAAATACATGTATAAAACAGAAAAAGATAAAGAGTATTAAGTATCCAGGCAGGGTTAGAAAAAGATGGACATCCTTGTCCTTCCTCAAACCTAGTAATCTGTCATATGCTAAGAGCTTCTTTGATAGTCTTGAAGTTCCTGCTTCCGCAAACTCTATGGTTCCTGTGTTACAGAACAAAAAATTTTATGCTGAGAAAAGTGTAAGAAAAGACTGAACAAAGAAAAAAAGCCAGGAGTTATTATTTTATAAAATAAATGTGAAAATTCACAAATACTGGTAATGATTCAATATACAAAAGCATTTCTGAATACTTTAATATCAAAAAAAATTTTCTAAAACATGACAAATGTCATATGAAAGTATAAGGTATGTTTGAAAGTGACACAATGATAAACAGAAATCAATGATCATACACTGAACCTAATTCTACTGGAGGGAAAATGTACAATATATTCCACACATAGGAGAACTCAGTTATAGCTTGGCAACACAGCTAAAAGGGTTTAGCGAACTCAAATACTAGAGAGACAATGGATGAAACAGAATCATACCCTGAATTACTGAAGTGAGCATCTGAAAGAAGATGAGAAAAATTCTGGGGACTGTGGGGGTAGGGGAAACGCATTCAGTAAAGATATTCATTCATCTGAGATCATTCAGTATACTTTTCCTTAACTATGCCTAGAACGAAAGCAAGGAGCTTGAGAACTCTCTAGATGAACATGGCCATTGAAGTATCTTATACAGCATTATTAAATTATTCATATGCTGAACTTCAATATCTCCTAACATGGTCTCACTTACCGCCAAGGCAGATGAATAAAAGCTGAAGATATTCTGCCGAAATTCTTTCAGGGCTTTTTTAAATACAACATCCACTAGTGTATCCTTCTTGCTGTCCTCATTGTCTAGATCATTCATCTGGGGACCACAGAAAGAGTTGGAACCAATCAACTAAATGAAAAAAGGCCAATGTGACAGTGGCTAGGTATTGTCTCTTCAATGATGACTGTTCTAAAAGTCCAATTCACAGGCTATCACAAGACCCAGGTAAAAGGCATACAGCCAAAGTATAACTACTTTATTTCTAAGGTACCTTCTAACTTGAAGTGATTCTACATGTTGTTACTAGAAAAACAACTACAGATGTGCAATGACAAGCATATAAATATAACATGACAATTACAATAAAATCAAGTCAATAGTAAAGCCTAAAACTTTAAATCCTGTCTATGCAGGATTTGCACAATCCTTTCAGCTTGTGCACATCCTAATATTTGAACATTCTGATAAAGATCAGACCATCTAAGATCTCATCTCTACAAAGGCAAATCCTGCATTCTGTATCCAAAGCTGCCCAGAGGCTTTACTCAGCAAGGAACAGCTACCTTTTTCAGAAGAAATTCATCCATGCTTTTTAAATCACTGGCACTGGCTATGATTTGAATGGAGTCGTTCTGCCGGCGCACAGAGTCCATGGCCACATTGCTGATCTTCACACTGCGTGTGCGCTTTGCCTTTGGAGAAGGCTCTTTGTTCTCCTTGAACTCCTTCCGGCAACTACTAGGCAGTTCTGGACTCAAAGGAGGTGTTGGGTGATGCTGAGATAATTCTACAATTCAAGACAGGTACCCAAAAAGAGATAGTTAGTAACAAACAAATATTCATCATTTCTACATTCTTCTTTTTAAGTTCCTGTGGTAAGTCACTGAAGGAAACATATGCAAATATCTGAAAAGCAATATAACATTAATGTTTAAAGTCAGGCAGGTAGGCAATAAAGCTAGATTACACAACTGTACAGAAAATGTATTAAGGAATCACTACTTTTTAATGGTTAGCTCTTTTTATCTCCCAATGAGCTAAGGCTGACACTGAAAACCTGGGATGAAGTACCTTGTAGAACATAATCCCAAAGACCTCTCAGCCTCAAAGAGAAGAGAGCATGTAATCACACTAGCATATTAAATACTGTTAATCCAGGTACAGCTTTGCTACATCTGTTTTCATTAATATCCAGATGTATACAAGCCCAGCAAACCAGTGAAGTTCAATAATTACTATTTTTCACGAATGCTTCAGTGATAATATCTAGTGGAAGCTGGCAATCTGTCAGGGAGGCAGTTGACTCTAGTTTACTTTATTATTCAGGGTTGTCTTGTATGTACTCCTAGTAACTTTGAATTTTTGATGGAATTCCGAGAATGAACTGGCTTTGTATGTAACACTGAGAAGCACAATTTTTCTCTGTAATTGCTTACCCCAGAGAAATGAGATCCCACATCATTCACTTATCTAGACACTCTCTGAAGCCTAGTGACACTGCTGGCCTCTTCTCATTTCCCCAACACGCATGCCCTTTACCTATGACCAATGGCTCCTCCCAACTCCTTTTCAAAGATGACTCTGACAATGAAACAAAAGTAGCTCCCTATAAACTAAATGGTACCTCAGGCAGGAACTGAGACAAACCCAATTTCAGACGTGATACCAGTGTAAAGAATGAGTATATTCAAATTGATGTCAACTGATTTAAATTTTACTATGTAAGTATCTAATTACTTCATCTGGCAAAGTCAGAATCTTTCTTATAATGAAACAATGGTTCTAAAGAAATTGTCATAATATCATTTTAGCATTAAGAACAAGGGCTACCTTATAAATTAATAATAAAATAAATGAAACACTAGAATCCCAACTTTTACACAAAATACGTATTTTCAACTAAAAAGCCTGATGCTTCTTTGCCTGTTTCTTGGGAATTAGTAGTGAAGAATGTAACTGTAGAAAAATGCAGCATGACTTCTGCCAATTGGACAAGATATTAAGCTGTACACTTTGGCAACGTGAAGAAGAGGAATGCAAGGCTGTCCAAGCTGAACTTCTAGAACCCACTTGGTTCACTGCTAGCTTCCTCCACATTAGTGGTCAGCTGGTGGGAACAAAGCCAGGAGACACAAAGGAGAGACCCATTACATCTTCACCTTCTTGCACAGCAGACAGGGCCACTGACATAGTCCATCTGTTCCCAGGCAAAACTTGATTATCTCTTCTCCTTGTACCTTCATCTTGTTCTAGATTGACAAGTTTTTGCTTACTGATTATAACTGGGTCTGTTCTATCTTTCCTTAAAAGAGAAGAGATCATAGGGTCTCTTTCTATTTTAGTCAGTGCTGGCATTTCACCCACTCACTGCCACATATCCATCCACTTCTGATATATATCCTGGTTGAGGATAACTGACATCTTTAGTTGCTATAACTCTCAGGCATGCCTGAAGAAAGGGATGGGAAAGAAGGTGCAATCTTCTTTTTTTTTTTTTTGGTGGTGTGGAACAGGATTTTTTTTTAATTGTTTTATTATTCATATGTGCATACAAGGCTTGGGTCATTTCTCCCCCCTGCCCCCACCCCCTCCCTTACCACCCACTCCGCCCCCTTCCTCTCCCCCCCCATCCCCTCGATACCCAGCAGAAACTATTTTGCCCTTATCTCTAATTTTGTTGAAGAGAGAGTAGCAATCTTCTAATATTAGGATTCCTAGGGTACTTTCAAATGCCCTTCAAACTATAATAGCTTCATTATAAAGTACCAGGCAACTGTTAGGCAATGACATATGCACAGTTATACAATGCAGTGGTTGAGAAAGTGGACTCTGCAGCTGGAATGCTTGGATTCAAATTTCAGCTCTTCCAATTACTATGTGTGTAAATAAACAACTTTCTATTCCTCAGTGATCTTATATAGAAATTGGAAACTATAATCATACTGATCCTGGAAAAACTGCTGTCAGGATGAGTTAATTCACGTAACCTGCTTAGTATAGTGCCTTACATGTAGAAAGCACTCAGATATGAGCTGCTGCTGTGACTTTCTACAAATACATGTCTGCTAAGGTTAGTCCAAGATTCATAATCATTCCTGAGGTGGCTGTTGCTTCATTGTCTTATGCTGTATACTCTTGGAGCAGCTTTCTTTACTAAGGAGGCATTTAGCTATCCTTGTCCTAGCTATTAGAATATTAATCAACAGGCTTGCCACTATGAATGCTGAAGGAACAGCAAGCTTTCAAGAGAGTAAACAGATATTGTCAAGACAAGCTCCACGCCTCTGTCCACTTTTACCTTCTGGACCCTGATGAGATGGAGTCACATCTGAGTCAGCAAAGAATGCTGAAGCCTCCGATTGGGTAACAGGCTTTACTCTTGTAGTCTTCTTCTCTCCATGTTTTCCTTTGGCCCAGAATCTCATCTTAGCTCTCTGAGGTCTTAAAGAAAAAAAAAAAAAGTGATTATCTATGTAGCACCTAAGGTTTTCATGTATGCTAGTCCTTCACATTTAAATTAATCATATTTAACCTTCAATTTTACACTTAAACCCTCACCAGGAAGGTAGACCAGTTTCCTTTATTTGTATTTTTATGGTGCTGGGGATTGAACCCCAGACCTCATGCATACTAGGCAAGCACTCTTCTACTTAGCCACATTCCCAGCTTCTCATCTTGAATGTAGGAAAAAAAAAACAAACAAACAGAAAAAAACCAAAGATTTAAGTGGAATTAGGATTCCAACTCAGGCTTTCTGATTCCCACACTGCTACATTTTTATTCTTATCTCCCATTGACCTTGGATTTATTTAGCACACAATGTCACAACAACAAAAAACATGTTTAAAGAAATCACTGTTAACTGTTACTGACTAAAAAATTTTAATTGATATTGTTAGTAATTTCTCCATAGTCTTTTTCCATAAGCATGTCAAATTTTCTATCACTATAATGATGTAGATATCTTAAAGCTTTCTTTCCTTTCTATCATCCATCCATCTATCATCTATCTATCTATCTATCTATCTATCTATCTATCTATCTATCTATCAATCAATCATCAGCAGTGTTGACCCCAGGGCCTTGCCAGCACTCTACCACATGAGCCATAAACACAGCCCTTTTTGCTCTAGTTAGTTTTTGGACAGGGTCTCATGCTTTTTGCTTGGGGCCAGCCTTGTACCATGATCCTCCTACATGCACCTCCAACCTATGCCTCCTTAATAGTTGGGATTATAGACATGGTCCACTCTGCCTAGCTTACTTATGGAGACAGGGGTTTTGCTAACTTTTGCCTGGGCTAGCCTCAAACTTAAATCCTCTGGATCTCTACATCCTGAACAGCTGAGATTATAGGCATGTACCATCATTTGCACTACTATATAACAGAACATTTAATGTCACTATTTTTGATTTGTGAGTTTTCAATATTACAATTAACAACAACCACTACTTGTCTGAACTCTTTATCTTGCTCAAGCACAGTGCTAAGTGATTCTATGGTATTACTTAAATTATAACAACTATATTTTCACCAAACTACAGGTTGAATATTAGTAATCTAAAAAATGTAAAATTCAAAATGCTCTAAAATACAAAACTTCTTGAGTGCGGACATGATGTAACAAATTGAAAACTCCACGATGGACTTTAAGTGATGGGTCACAATCAAAACACAGAATACAAAAATAATGTATAGACTCATCCTCAAGGCTATGTGAACAAATAGACTTCATGTGTAGACTAGGTCCTGGTCCCAAAATATCCCACTGGGTATATGCAAATATTGCAAAATCCAGGACATCTGAAAACATTCTGGTCCTAAGCATTTTGGGCAAGATATTGCTATCATACTGTGACCATAGATAATGGCTAAGCATGTCCCACCACTCTTTATCTCCACACAAGCAGTTTCAGTTAAATCAGTTCTCAGTATTTTCCTTTAGTCACAACCAGTTTTATTATATAAATAGCATTCACAGTTGAGGCACGTAGTCCTCTACCTACATGACTATTTTATTCTCCATAACCTCTTTTTCATTTACTCCTTTTCTACATGCAACTCACCTCCACGTGCCCCATTTGTGCGTATCCTGCTTTTAATACCTGCGTGAACAAATTAGGTACTCTGAGTCGCACCTTCTTAAAGGAATGCCTCACAGGACTTTCTAACCCTCCCAATCCAGAGTGACTTCCTCACTGCTGGCTGTGCAGCTATCATTTCAAAAGTTACTTTCAGCATCAGAATGGAGGCTCTTTTTCTTTTGGTTTATAGTCATGTGGTTTTTGGTGTGGGTCTATTTCCATCCATTATGTTGAGTACTCAGTGGGTCCTTCTCATCTGGAAACTTGTGACCTTTGGTTCTGTGATTTGTTTTTTCTATACTGAGGACTGAACGCAGATCCTCCAGGCATATGATCTAACATCTGAGCCATGTTCCTATCCCTGAAATCTAGATGGATTACTTTACTAATCATTTGTTCTATCATTGGGTCACTGGATTCCCAGAACTGATTCTGTAATTTTTTTTTTTTTTTCAGTATGGGGGTTTGAACTCAGGGCCTTTACCTTGAGCCACTCCAAGCCCTTTATTGTGATGGGTTTTTTTGAGATAGGGTCTCTCGGACTATTTCCTGGCTGGCTTCGAACCATGATCCTCCTGAGTAGCAAGGATTACAGGCATGAGTCACCAGCACCCAGCTACATAATTTTCTTATCTTACCCATCTTTTTACCTTTTTGTTCAACTTTCTGAACTATGTTGTCCACTTTTCTGCTAACCCTTCTGAGTTGCTCTTTTATGTTGTCATGTTTTTAATTTTCAAAAGCTCTTTTTATTATGAATGTTTCTTTCATACATCCTGTTTGGTTTCATCAATAAAATAATATTATGTTGAAGTTCTACCAGTAGTTGTATTTATCGTTCTTCAAGTTTTCTATCCTCTGCATAGGGTTATTTCCTTTAAGTTGTAGTTTATCTGTTAGTTATGGTCTCCTCAGACATATAGAAATAACTAGTATCTAATTGTGATCATAGCATTAATGGAACTTCTTAACTATGTGGTCTTCCTTACACATATGTAAACTGTTATGTGTCTGTAAATATTGGTACTTTTTTCTCAAAGAATTGGCAAATAAACTTAACCTGAAAGCTCAGTATTTAACTGGAGTTAATTATTAAATAAAATTGTTACCACTATTAATTCTGTGCATACATCCTACCTTATATCTGAATCCGAAGCCTTCTGTCTTACTGCCAACTTTGTAATCTCTCCTTGGGACATAGTCTTATGAAGCTTTGTTTGTTCATCAATTGAAGAAAATCGCTGTGATGTCTGTAATAATCATACATGTAAAAAATTTTAAAATCAAGTAAATATATGATAGCACTATAAATAGAACTCAGGTTAAAGAATTGAGAATGACAGCTGTTAAAAATATACATAAATACATCAGCATTATTCAGAGAGTCAGTGAAATAACAGAACCTAAAGGAAACTCAGTTAACTTCCTACGGTAATGAGAAACACAGAGAACTTGGTGCTGAATAGGACCCACCAGTACATACTTTAAGACAATTTAACAAAGAATCACATGTGGAAAGAAAGGAAACTGTCAAAACCATTCCAAGATATACACATAAGATCCAGGATCTAAACAACCTATAACACTAAGGACTGTCTTTCACACCTCTTCTTATTTGTGCCAAAAGGAGGTAATTACTTTTATGGATTAACTATTATAGATCAATATATCTAGTCAAGGTCAAAAAGAGCTAGATCACAGAGAAAGTAAGAAAAATAAAAAAAGAAGCAAAGGATAAAGGGTCACTACCATTACCAATATTGTAAACTATAGACAATTTACAAAACTATCAAACTGGGGCCTCAGTATCAGCTGCAATTCCTCATTTGTTTACCATGTGCACCTCTAAAAACAATCCCATTCTGAGGAGAAAACTCTTGTTATTCTGGAATATTACTGGAAAGCAGTAAAGAATATTAATTTGAACAAAAATATTCAGCAACTAACAAGACACAATTCATAATATCAACTGTACAGTAAAAATGAGACATACAAAGAAGTAGGAATTCATGATCCACATGGAGAAATAAATCCATCAATTCATGCTGATTTAAAACTGACACAGCGTTACTGAGTTAGAAGGACAGTAAGACAGCATGTGCTCTCTGTAAATTCAAAAAGGTTGATAGAGAGGAGGCAACCAAAAATACTCTTTCAAACATCCAGAGAGGATGAGTACACAGCAAATTAGATACTACAGAAGAAAAGATTAGTGAACATGAAGGTATCTTTGAGTTGGCTAGGATCTCTTATTTCCTTTTCTAACCAGCTCAGAAATGCTTCTAAAGGGACATGTGACTAGATAGATCCAGCACGCTCAGATGATGTCCCTCAATCCCTTCTTGGTCAGCTAATTTGGGACTTTAGGTATATCTAAAGAATCTTTACAACAGAACCCAGATTAGTACACTGAAGTATGAGGCCACTGTAGGACTCATTCTACTGAGACAGATAGTTTACGCTCATCATACACGTATTAAAACATCACGTGAGGGCTGGGGTTGTGGCTCAGTACTAAAGTGTTTGATTAGCATGTGTGAGGCCTTGGATTCAATCCCCAGCACTGCAAAAAGAAAAATGGCACCCCATAAATAATTGACATAATTTTTATATGTCAATTAAAAAAGAATTCTTCCTACCATATAACACATTATCTAATTAGGTTTATATGAAGTTCTAGAATGGTGGTTGCTTCTGAAGGTGAAGTGAAAGGGAAGAGTTGAATACAAACATAAGAATGTTGATGTTATAGAAATCCTGACAGGAGGGCAGGTTACATAGTTATATAAATATACAATAGAAATGATCAAACTGGCCAGGTGCAGGTGGCTCACGCCTGCAATCCTAGCTACTTAGGAGACTGAGATCAGGAGGACCATGGTTTGAGGCCAATCCCAGCAAAATGTTTGCAAGACTCCCCCATCTCCAAGATAATATGAGCAAAATGGACTGGAGGTGTGGCTCAAGTGGTAGAGCACCTACTTTATAAGCATGAAGCCCTGAGTTCAAACCCCAATTCCACCAAAACAAAAAGATCAAACTGTATACTGAAGATTTGCACTTTCACTGTGTGTATTATACCTCATTTATAAGATAATGTTAGTAAATCCAGGGCCAGACGAATAACATGTGATCCTATGATCAATCTTACAAAAACAGAGATGTGGACCCCAACATAACACGAAAGAATATACTCACCACCACCACCTATAAACTATATTCCTTAAAAAAGAAAACCCAAATGTGGCTCAAACTCTGGTTCTACGTGGGTATTTGTATTTTCTCTAAAATGGTATAACATCATTTAAAATGACAAAACCACCAGCCAAATTGAGAAACATAGGCAATTCAACAGAACAAATGACCCTGCATCCAACACAAATAAATTACTAGAGAAGAAAAAAGAGGGAGGGAATTTATAGAGTACGTGTACCTTACAAATGACTTCTAGGGGACTAAGGCAGGATGATCTTGAGTTCAAGGCCAGCCTGGGCTACATAGTGAGGCCTTGTATCAAAAAAAAAAAAAAAAAAAAAAAAAGGCTCTATGAAGCTAAGAATAATACCTAAATACAAATAATCTTCAAAACAACACAGAACCATAAGAAAAACAAAACTATATAAAACCTAGCAAGCAATGTAACTAGAAAGAGTTCACATAAGCTTCCCACTGCAAGCTTGTGTCAAAGAAAGAACAGTCTAAGGAAAATTGTGTAAAAGAGGAAAGAGCAAACTTAGCAATGGGCTTCTGACTGATTTGAAATAATTGCCAGAAAAAGAAGGTCTACCATAAACATGAAAACCTAAAAGACTACCAGTAGATAACCAAACCAGCATCAAGGAAATGATTTAAAAATGCATGTGATTCAAGAGGACTGACTTTTGAAGGCATTGCTTCTGGGTAAAAAGAAGTTTTGTAAAAAGGAAGGAAGATGTGCCCTAAGGAGATTGGGTGAAAACCAGAAAAACCAGGAATTCAGAATTCAGCAAGGCAAAAGAAAAGCAAAAAACCTAGAGGACATACAACAGTTGCTTCCATCACCACAAAAACACAAAAGTCTTCCCACTAAGAAACTGTGTAGACAGAAGAGGAAGTTCTTAAGAATTTATCTTGTAAACCAACCCAAATACATTAAAATGAATAAATTAAAACATACAAAATCTACATACAAAGGTACAATAAGAAAACAAAGCTAATGAGTACCTAATGATAAATAGTTCATTTGAATAATATCTTACCCCCACTAAAATAAAACAAAACCCTTCCAAAGAAATAGTAATTCTCAAAAATGGATTAAATGGAAGAAATTCAAAAGTTTAAACCAGAAATGAAAAAAAGGAACAACAAATAACAGAAATAAATGAAGGGAGATGATTGAATTCAGGAAAGAAAGAAAAGAAAAGAAAAAATTAACTTTAAAATGAAAGCTAACTTGCATGGTGCCTAAGAAAGAGAAAACACAAATGCAAATTCAAAAGATGGGAAAAATAATAAAGAATATAAAATTAGAATAAAAAAAGAAGCAAAAAGGGTCAGATATGATTGAAATGGAAGAGAGGCAAAAAAGGAAGAAAACCTTGTTTACAACTGAACTTCCTTAACAAGAAAAACAAATCAATGGACCATAACGAATATTCAAAATTATAAAGTATTTTTCAAAAAGTAAGACAAAACCAAAATTCACATGCTACTATGGGATCGTTACTCTATAAACACCAACCTGAAATCCTAGACTTGAAAGGATTCCAAAGGAGATCAAATATCTTACAAGGACGAGAGAATTAGAGTGGCAATGGTCTTAACAAAAGAGAACATATAAAACAAGAAAACAATGAAATAACATCTTCAAAGAACTCGGGGAAAGCAAGTATCAAGGGCTTGTTATGTAAGTCACGAGGTCCTTCAAAGTGCCAAAGGAAACTGAGAATCAGTGAGCCCTTCACAGGTGTTCTAGTAGGTGATGAGCCTCCCCTGACTAAAATAAATGGGGAAACTGCAGCAAATATTTGACGTGATCATTTAATACAGTTAGTAGTAGAGCTAAGATCAATGAACAGAAAGATGGGACTTTGGGTAAAAGAATAATGAGTAAAATTAAATATTCTGACAGGATAGAAACAAAAAAAACTTTAAAAAAATGAAGTAGAATAAAGAGGAAAAGAACAGTAAAATAATTCACTGATACACAATGGGTGTGAATTAATTAAGCTATTACTCATTGACTGAGTAATTAAGATGGGTGTGGTGGCCCACACTTGGTAATCCCCGCCCTAAGGAGGTTGAGGCAGAGGGATACAAATTCTAGGCTAGCTTGGAGCTACCCAGTGAGATTGAGAAAGAGGGAGAGAAGGAAGGAAGGAAGAAAGGAAGGAAGGACGGACTCTGACTTACCAGAGAAAAATAAAATAAAAACAAATATTGACTAATTTTTTAAAGTACCTTTTTAAAAAGTACTAAAGACAAATAACCAATAGAATAAAAAACAATGCTTCCTAAATATCAAAAGAAAACATATAATGTAAATGTAGTATATTTAATGTAACATACAATGATTACATCAAATAAAATTAACAGACATATCAACAGATTTAACTCACCTATTAAAGGAAAATATTTTTAATTAGATTCAAAGCAGGACCCAACTATACTGTACAAAAACACACACCTAAAACAAAGAGATGTAGAAAGGCTAAAAACACAGGGGTAAGCAAAAGTAAACCAGTTATACAGAAGTAAGAAAATAGAGGCAGTACGGTGTTAAGTACAATTCAAGAAAAAAGCATTGTATGTGATACAGGACTTTTTGAATATTAAAAGGCACAATGAACAATGAATAGAAAATTTTAATATAACATTCTCAGCAGGAGATATCAGTGGATATAAAAGACAACATAATGAACAGGGTAGCAATTACAGATTACAGAAGTTTACACTCTGAACAGAGATTACACCTTCTTACCAAATGCATGTGGTCCTTCACAAAAATGGTTCAGTATTAGGTAACAAAATAAATAAATAAATAAATCCTATCAAATATAAGTATTACAGACACTCTGATTACACTACAAAAAAACAAGAAATTAAAAAAAGAGTGAAAGAGCTCTTAGTTTGAAAACTAATCTTTCACAAAGCAAGTCTAGGGTTAAAAAAAAGAAACAGAAATTACAGATTTTGGAGAAAAAAAGTAAAAAGCTTTACATACTGGAATCTTTTTTGTTGTTGTTGTTTTATTATTCATATGTGCATACAAGGCTTGGGTCATTTCTCCCCCCTGCCCCCACCCCCTCCCTTACCACCCACTCCACCCCCTCCCTCTCCCCCCCACCCCCTCAATACCCAGCAGAAACTATTTTGCCCTTATTTCTAATTTTGTTGAAGAGCGAGTATAAGCAATAATAGGAAGGAACAAGGGTTTTTGCTTGTTGAGATAAGGATAGCTATGCAGGGATTTGACTCACATTAATTTCCTGTACGTGTGTGTTGCCTTCTAGGTTAATTCTTTTTGATCTAACCTTTTCTCTAGTTCCTGGTCCCCTTTTCCCATTGGCCTCAGTTGTTTTTAAGATATCTGCTTTAGTTTCTCTGCGCTAAGGGCAACAAATGCTAGCTAATTTTTTAGGTGTCTTACCTATCCTCACCCCTCCCTTGTGTGCTCTCGCTTATATCATGTGCTCTCTGAGATACATTATGAAGCAATGATCAGAGAAAAATTCATTGGCTTAAGAAACCTATAGGAATAAAAATATAATAAATGAATTTAATTCCCAACTAAAAATCTAGAAAAATGATAAAGTAAACCAAAGAAAGCAATAATAATAATGAGAAAAGCAGAAAGTGAATTAGATACTCCAAAAAAGGCAGAATTAATAAATCAAAATCCTGTTATTTTAGAAAAAATTAACAAGACAGACAAGTGACTAGTGTTACAGTCTGGACTGGAATGTCCACAAAGGCTCCTACGTTGAAGGCTTTGGATTCCAGTCGCAGCAATATTCAGAGGCAGGGCTTTTGCAATCCTTGCCAATCCTCGCCAATGGGTTAGTCCATTGATGGATTCACAATCTGATGACGTTATTGACAGATGGTAGAGCTTTAAGAGGTGGGGCCCAGTTGGAGAAGAAGGTCATTGGGGCGTGCCCTGGAAGGGTACATATCTTGTCCCTGCCCTCTTTCCCCTAGCTTTCTTTCTGCTTTCTGGCCACCAGTGCATTTCTGGCACTGCTTCAACAGAGGCCCAAATGACTGTCTTGAAACCATGAGCTAAAATAAATCTTTCCTCCTTTAAGATGTTATCACAAGTATTTGGTTACAGTGATGGAAATGTAATACAACTAGTTAACCCCCGAAAAAGAAAACGAAAGCCATAAGAAACTACTTTGCAGACTTCTATGCAAATAAACTGGAAAAGTTAAACAAAGTGGAAATTTCTGCAAGTAAAAATGGTTTAACAAAATGGACTCAGATAAAATGCTTTCAAAGATCAATTTCCCAAGGATAAATGGAGGAAGTAGGCCACAAAAAAAACACTGTTTACTGATGGTCCGAAGGGAAAATCTACCAATCTTCAAAGGACAGGCAGTCACGATGCCATAAATATCCCTGAATTTCCTGGGAGAATGAAGTGCACACGTAAATACGAAGTGTATGTTCAACAGTGTGGCTGCTGCTGTCACTGGGCTGCCAATCCAAACTTCTTTAAGGGTCATGAACTCTGGTTGTTCAGTAACAACCAGTTTCCCACTGTGCATGCAAGACCTGCTTCAAAACCACCATGAGCCCAGACCCCAATCACATAAATATCCCTCGCTGACTTGCTCCTGGTAGGACATAGTCTAGGTGGGTTTTCCCTTAGCATAGTAAGATAATAAATTCAGCTTTGCTCAGCAGATTTTTCTGTTATCTTTTGTGGAACGGACAGAGGACAGAAAGGAAACTCAACATAGAGAGGGACTGGAGAGTAACTCAGGAATAAAAAGAAAATAGGACCACAAGAAGTGAGAGCACTTTGGGAGATATTCAAAACTTAGTTATACAGAGCTGGAGGTAAAGAATAAAACTGTGGAGTAGTATTTTAGTTATATAGCCACAGAGATCACTACTGAAAGTCTGGCTAACGGCAGAAGAAATAACACAGAAAAGTATGTTTCCTATCCTAATCTTACAGATAAGGGATAAAACTAATTTTACTAACCCAGTTAACAAGTAAACTGAGACTAAAAAATTAGACGAAAGTCATTAAAACAAATATTGCTTGGCAGAACACATCATTATTCTTAGGTAAATGCCAACATGGTAAGTGTAAGAACTGAGTGAAAACAGAATATAGAGATTAAATAGTATTTACATAGCAGAGTTGCAAGTAGAAAGTTAAAAAACATGAAAGTCACAGAGGAGAGAAACTACTATCCTTGTCTTCCCTCCCCATGGCAGGTAACAACCAATCATTAATTAACCAACTCAAGATGTAATGTTAATCACAAGTCCCATTAGATCAGTTACTTCATAACAGAAAAGGTCAGATGGCCAGTTCTGCTAAGATTTAATGACTCACTTCTTGGCAAATACCAGTGATAGGATCACTTTGTCCAGGAAAAAAAAAATCCAGTTTTTAAAAATCCATGTGTCCCCAAGGTTCAAATTCATTGAAAAAAACCTGAATTTTGAGAATGCAGCAGATCGCCCTTAGAAAGAGTAAGACTTCGTCTTCACAGTATAGGATAATGTTAGAATATGGCATATTTTCAAGTTAAACAAAGAAATATTTTAACATTGTTCCTTCCCTCCCCACCCTTAGCCCCAACAAGTATCTATGAGCATATTCTAGAAAGCAAGGCTTCTTCATGCAAGTGTCTACTAGAAACCAGCACCACCACCTGTTCCTAAAATAGCTACAGTCATGAAAGAAAGTGAGGAAGCTGGAGAGGTGACTACCACACTGCGCAGGGAGGTGCTGCTCTATAACTATGGCATGCAGTGACCATCAAGCAGGTGAACAGAGGCTAGGGCATGGAAAGGAGCTGACCACTCCAAGCAGAAAGCCCAACTTCCTGGTTCATCTCAGCAAGAGTTCCCAGTGTCAAAGTAAGTCTACCACCAAAAGGACTAAGGGTTGTTACAAGAGAAACCCTCAGGAACAAAACAGCAGTGATAAATGCTAAGTTCCTCCATAACCAGTACCTAAGTATATAGATAAAGATGTATTTTTCAATACAATTACTTTGTTCCACCACAAAATTTCACATTTAACTATTATTCATATAACAGAGTATATTCCATAATTTATAACTCAAATATAGGGCACCTCCACTAAGGAGTTATTTAATCCTATGCTGAGGAGCTTTTTAGCTATAGTTATGTATATATTAACAGGTAATACAAACTGCTACCACCTTCTACAATGCTATGGATTTTCGCTTAATAATGACTCATTTGTTTAGTCAGAAAACATATCCTGTTTTTATTTTATTCCCTCATAAACATCAATATTATCATTTAAAAATTGGGTCAAGCTTCCACAAAAAATAAAGAAAGTGAGAATATTCTGGAAATTAGGAAAAATTTTAACTAATTGGGTCTTCAGCATAATTCAAACAGCTTAAACAGTTTAAAGCTAAACTATATGACTTGAAAATCATGGTAAAATTTTTTCCAAAATGAAAAGATGCTAAAGACTAGAAAGCCAAATTATTCATGGAAATAAAGTGTTTCATCAGTGACAATGTTTTAGCTCATACTAGACATATCGGGTCCCTATACTGTGCATTTTCTACAATTCCAAAATGAAACTCTTTATTCTAAAACATTTATGTACGTACTTGTCATTCATACTTTCAAACATAATTTTGGTTGAGAAGATGATAAAAAGTTATATTCTTAGCCAAAAACAGTATAGTTTTATTCAAATGACCTCAATGTTATAAATTTTGATTAGTACAAACTCACATAGCATATAGACTTCTGTTTGGCTGGGTTGGTGCAGAGTGGCACATTTTGCTAATTTGTGTATGTGTTACTGCAGCTTAAATGTAGGGCCTTGCACATGGCAGGAAAATACTCTGCCTCTGATCTAAATCCCCAGCCTTTCATTTTTTTGAGGCAGGGTACCTCTCTATGCAGCCCAAGCTGGGTTCAAGTTTGTGATCTCCCTGCCTCTACCTGCAATTGCTAGGATTACAGGTGTGTACCACCATACTGGGCTAAATTTTTTTTAAATTCATGTTTATTTTCTATTTTTGAAAAGTAGGTGAGGAACCAAGTTTACCAATAACATTTCAGTTAAAGTCCACTGAATTATTTAAATAGACAACATACTCCTTATGCCAGGGAGGTAAAGCAGCAGGTCGAATGCAGCCCATGGCCTGTTTCTGTACTTTATCAGAGTGTGGCCATGCCCATTTGTTACTTGCTGTCTGTGGCTGCTTTCACAGTACAGAGGCCAACTTAAGTAGCTGCAGCAGAGACTCCAGTCTACAAAGTCTAAAATATTTATCATGTGGTCCTTAAAAAAAAGGACCTCTACTGTAACCTTTTAAAGTATAACACTGAACATTTCTACACGAGTGCTAACTTAACCTAAATTTCGCCTAATTTATGATTTGGTATATACCACTAAAGTGCCCTTTATCTGAGTCCTATGAAGACTTAGCTTCAATTGCTGTGTTCACTGAGGTTTCCCACGCACAAACCATTACAAGGGAAGCAGCTGTGAAGGTTAGCTTTAGATTAGCAGACTATTCCCATCAGATTTGCTGGCTGTTTATTTTTCTTATTACTGTAAAATTACCATTTCGGAGTCACTATGAGAGGCCTGACCCAGGCTGGATGCAGGCCCTAGCTCAGAGTGAGAAGCTCGGTCAAGGGAGAGAAGGGGCTCAGTAATGCCATCGTAATCATCGTCCTCTGTATCCCCCTCCCCATCGGCAAAAGTACCTCTAGTCAAGAAATCGGAGCGCGTCCGCGCCATTCGAGCTTTCTTTTTATGGGCCGGTCTGGCAACCTGCTTGACCAAATGATAGAACAAACAACACAACAAGGTTTTGTTTTCTCTTGCTTTTTGGAGATGATGCCAATGAAAGGGGGCTCATAAATTTCTGAAACTTCCCTCCACCCCATCATGCCCCTTTTGCTAGTAGAATAACAGGGATGACCAAAACGAACCTAAGCAGATTTCTGTGGACAAAGAATAGAATGGAAGCTAAATCTACTCTGTTCAAGTAAGTCATCCTCCACTGCCTTAACAAGTCACACCAAAGGTCACTTGAACAAACTGCCTTCTTTTTCTTAGCAACTTCTCTTTTATAAGTATAATCTAGGTTTTAGGCACCATTCTTTGGCCTGGAGTACACCTTCTTAATTTTGACAGGCTTAGCTCATGGATTCTTATTCTAAAAACACTCGGGAGTAGATGGGTGGATGAGGTGCTCTACCTACAAGAATCATAATTTTCAAAATAATATGCATCTAATTCTTGTGGAAGAAAGTTAAACAAGATCTGATACTCACCTCTTGCTGACCCAGGCCCGCTAGCTTAGGTTTCCAAGATGGTCCGTCTTGTTTACCGACTTGAGGATTCCCACCATTTAAGGATTCCTTGTTGACACTTTAAATAAAACATCTGTATTACATTTCAATCTCTAGTAGATACCCACAGAGCTAGTCAAAAAGCGTAATATGAATTACAGTCTAACAAGCAAAGTCAAAGAATTCTGGTAAATTCTGTAAATCTAATTGTTAGTGGATTCCCAAAACAGTAAATCAGACTTCTTCTGCCTACTCAATCAATACTATGATCAAGAATCTACATGTATGAAAAATTCCTAGAGGCCTACTGTGATAATCACTGGGTATATTCCAATAGGGTAACATTATGTTTAAGAATAGTAGCAGCACAGTTAGTTTAAGAACTGAAGTGGACCTAGTGAGAAAAGAAAAATGTAATACCCCCATTCAAATTGTTAAATACTAGCTTTAAAAACACTTTTTTCCCCATCTTAATCACTGTAAAATATTTGATAAGTGATGTGGTTCTTATTGTTAGAAAAATTCTTTCTGAAATCATTCTCTATGGTTTTCACCCATTAATTTTAAAACTTGAGATTACATACAGTAATAACACTTGCAGGATAAGAAATTTGCAAGCTAGAAGAAGTATGCCCAAAGCCACACAGATGTTATAGTATTGGCTTGTGAAAATTTAATTTTGCTTGACATGGTATGATGGCTTTATTATTACATTCTGTGCAGACATGGATACCAGGATCTGATGAAAATCTGAAAACCACCTCCACTTTCATAGCACCAATTACTTACAGTAACACAGCTGTAATTATTTACATCATACAGGAATCTTAGAAGTCATCAACAACACATTACTAGGCTGTCTTTACTGAACTATGAGCTCCTTGGGACTCATCTTACATCTTCGCATAGTACTAGCTGACAGGAGACAATGACTTATAATAGTAGTCCATGGGTTAACTGCTATTTCATTCAAAATCTTTCGCTTAACTTTTATAAATGAAGCCTATAGGTCGTTAAGAGGTTATCTTTTCCTTTGCCCCTATCCAATAATCCCTACACAAACTCCTGGACCTTCAAGCTGTCACTTGGTGGAAAATACAAGATCTATGGTCTCTTACATTTGTAAATGGTTCCTGTAAAACTTGTATGTAATTTTAAAGCTGGAAAGATTTAATTACTCTGACTGTGATAGGACAGGAATGGGTGTTTTCATGGTTAATGTGAATTTAATTTTTTAGTGCTAAGATATAGCCTTCTTTTCAACAGTGATATTCTCCCACAAGAACTGAAAGAATCCACTGTCTACAAAGACTTACTACAAAGAGACTTTATCTAACATGTTTTTATGTGCCACTTAACATACTCCTTTCTGGGCCATGGGTGCAGTCAGTGGCTGAGTGCTTACTTAGTATGTGTGAAGCCCTGGGTCTGATCGTCAGCCAGCATAGGGGCAGGGGAGGGGAGAACTCTTCTCATGACTACCACCAGTTAAATAAACCTTAAAGAATGCCCGCTTACATAAGTTATCTAAGGTAGTCAACTGTTGGTAACATGAAGTAGAATGGTGGTTTCCAGGGGCTAGAGAGAGGAAAAAGAGGAGTTGGTCTATGGATATAGCTTTTTAGTTTTGCAAGATGAGAATGTTCTAGAGATGCTGCACTACAACACTTCTGTACTGCACACTTAAAAAGGGTGAAGATGTAAATTTTACATAATATGACTATCACACACAAGAAAGTATAGCAAAAATAATGGAGACCATAAACAGGCCAACAGCTGTGACAAAGCACATTAACTTCTTTAAAGCCTGACGCTAACCAGCGTGGACTGCTACACTTTTCAGCAACTGGCACTTGCTGAATGCCTGCTATGCTTACACATAAATATTTTTCCATTTAATAGAGGGAAAAAACCCAAAAAACTCTGCTATCTGCACCCAAAGGGTATAACTAAATCCAATTTCAGGTAACTGGTAATTCACAAAGACAAAATGGTTAATTTGAGCAGTGCCCACGTAATATATAGGGTGGAACACAAGGCACCTTAATAAAATACTCCAAGAAGTTTCCCATGTATATGCAAAAATAAGCATTTCACTTACAGGGGACTATTCATATTGTCCCTTGGCGTGAAGAAAATGGCCCTTGTACTCCCTTCTCTGGAAGAATCAGTGGATTTGTGGCAGTAAGACTGAGCTGGTCTAAGGTGTTCTCTTTTTGAAATGTGATTATTAGAGAGTTTACAGGCTGCACTCTGCTGAGTGCTCATTCTTTCTGTCTTGGATAATTCCTTGACAGTACTAGATTGGCATGGGCTTGCTTTTCTTTCAAAGAACGTGGTGACAGGTCGGTCCTTCATGGGTAAATGAGCAGAAGGACTGTCTTCTGGGGCAAGAGCTGCATCTTTTTTGGTTACTAATGATAGGGACCCTAGTACACTGGGTTCTGCTTTATTTGTGGTATTTAGAATAAGGAGAGAGGATGGCCTCTCTACTCTTTCCTTTGATTGACAGAAAGATGGTGCCAGGAGAGACTCCCCAGTTCCTGAATGCTCAACTGTCTTGAAGGCTTTACGCTCCTTCTCTAAAATATCTGTTTGCTGGCGAATCTGTTGCATCATCTCTTTTTCATTCTGCTGCTGCAACTGCTTTTGCCTTTTCTCCTTCTCAGTGTTTAGCTTTTCTAACTTCTTAAGCACAGTACTGGAAGAATCTATATTCAAAGGAGTCAAATGATCTCCCGAGAAGTGATACTTCTTAGCTTCCTTATTAGTATCCCAAGTGAGACCTGTCCTTGGTGTGTCTTCACTCTCCAACAGTTTGTTTCTTTGGATATTTGTGTCTATCTTAGAACTTGTTTTCAGGGGGTCTTGATGGGGAATATAAAAAAATGTAGGCAGACTATTTGAAATAAAAGACTCTCTCAGCTGGGGTTTACAGGACATAGGTTCTGAACTACAGACTGGCTTTTCCTTCACAGTTCCACTCTTCAAGTGCTCTGAGTCAGAAGTTGCTCCCTTTGGAGTCAGTGCACAGCTAGCTTCACTTGAGGCACCCAGGACAGTGTCCTGTGCATCGGAGTTTGGACAGCTGGATATCTTAGGTGATGGAACTTGTAGGTCTCCTTCATCTAAAATTATGGACTCTAGTTTGCTCTTCTGGCTTTCCTCACAGTTCAGAAGTTCTAAGCTTCCTTGAGAACTTTCGCTATCAGGTGTTCCCTGTGGAGATTGAAGGCCTTCAGACATCAGTTCTGTAGACCATCTACGTTCCTCTGAAGGAGACGCACCCCCAAGAGAACGGACTTTTAGCAACTCTAGGCTAAATATTGCTTGCTCTAGTTCTCTCATTCTCCGGCTTTCTCTTTTGGCACGGCCTACTTTCTTCTGATGGAGATCCTCCAAGGACTTGGGTCTCTCTCTTACAATCACATCTTCCTGCAAGTCCACACCACTTTGGCTTCTGCCTGTTTCCTGATGCTTGACTGGAGACTCCTTTGAGAAGTCCCCTGAGCTTTCACGGCTAATTCGATTACTCTCTATTACAGATTTATACTCCTCTACAGCTTTCACTCTGTCATCAAAAGAGCAATCCTCCCATTCTGCAGGGTCTGAACCCTGGATCTCCAGAGCTCCACATGTCTTGGTATTCACCAATCCATGTTCTAGTTTGGTTTCTTTCAGCTTGAGTTCCTTTAAAGCTTTAAATCTGTAAAAAACAGACAAAACAGGTTACAGATATCCCCTGGCTACCACTGAAGAGAATACATTTACTAGGCTTTTTTTTTTTTTTTTTTTTTAATGAAAAGCACAATATTTTGTTTTCTATTACAGATGGGGGTCTTGCTATGTTGTTGCATTCAAGGCTGGCCTTGAACTCAGCATTCAAGTGACTCTCCTGCCTTAGCCCCTTAAGTAGTTGGGATGACTGGTGAGTACACTGCATCCAGCTTTGAAATTTTCTTTTCTAATACTTTAGGGTTCTTAAACTAACTTGATTTCACCAACTCAAATTCTGTTTCCCTGAGTTAGATGATATTTTTATTTCCAATATCATCCCTAGCTGGAAATTCTAACCAAAATGTTAACTCAGAAATAAACCTCTCACTTGTTAACAACCTTATTTTAAGCTAGACTTTAAATATGAAGTCAATGTAAAAACAATTGAATATTGACAATTCTGTAAGATTAAACCTGATGTAAAAGTTCATTCTCAGCAGTTATAACCATAGAGCATGGGGTTTTTTAAAATCCAATTTATTCAATAAACATTTATCTAACTTCTATTATAGACAATATAGATTAGAAGTGATGGAAAAATCACAGTCTAGTGAAGAAAATGAATTGTACACAGTCACAGGAGTGTTGAAGCAGACGTATAAACAAAGTATTTAGGAAGAGAGAAGGAACAATTATCATATTAACAGAAATTACCTTTGTCTTGCTCTGAATCCTCTACATGCTGACTGCAAAAGGATAATTTTGTTCCTTTGTGCTTTGTACCTCTTACTTTCCCTGTAGCCTCTCCATCTTGCCTGTATGCAGGTAGCAGCCATGTGTCTGCGCCTACAGAGCTCCCTCCATCTCTGCTGGATTATGATGGCTGAAGACCGTAGTTCCAAGTACCGTTGCCTCTCTAAGTGAGCACGCCAGGAAGCTTGGAGAAGGGCAGCTGCACTAGCCATAACAAAAGCATCCTTCTGCACAACTGCATCTCTAACTTGCTTCAGATGTAGGTAACTCCTCCAGAATCGCTGTGGGAAGACAAAAGAAACTGGTTGTCATGTTACCACACATTTTCACAAAAAAATGGACAAAAAGATAATTTTCTTATGTCATAATTAGAGGTTAAGTAGCTAAGCAGCTAAACTGTTGATGGTTAAAAATAAAAGTTTTTGCTCTTTCCCTGCTGATGCTGAGCTGTATGGGGGCAGAGGCTTGGGAGTTTCAGGATTCAGCTTCACCTTTAACTTACCACAATAGCTAAGGGAGACACTGCTGCTAGAAGTGTAGCAGATGTTAATACTGCTTTGTAAGAGGTACTTTAGACCACCTTTAGCCATGATGGCATAGGCCACAGAGCTGTCAAAGACTCAGACAAGCACCAGGCCCATCTTTATGTCCTTGAATCCAACTGTGATGAGCCTAAGTATGTCAAGGTGGAGGCTGTTTGTGCTTAGCCCAAATCCACCTTGTTAAGGCTAATGGCAGTAAGAAACCAGGGAAATGAGTCAGCCTCTGCAAAACCGATAAAGAAAGAAAACCCTGTCAGGTGAGTGGTTGTAGTCATGCAGTGGATAAGAACTATGGCAAAGAATCTCAGGCCAAGAATGTCTCTGAAATCAACTTCATTTGTTTATTTTTTGGGGGTACTGGGTTAGAACTCAAGGCCTTTCATTTCCTAGGCAGGCACTCTAACACTTGAGCCACTCCATCAGCCCTGAAATCAACTTCAAATGCAAGAAATGAACAATTTAAAAAACTGGCTAAATAAATAAATAGTTTTCATTTCCAGATATGCTTGGGTAAAACAGGTATTTTAAATAGTATAATCTTGAAGTTAATTACCGAATTTAAGATTTTGGATGGTTTCATATCCTACAAATTAATTTTAATAAATTATATTCTCTTGATGTAAATTGCCCAAGTAACATTAATAGGTTGAAGGTAACTGAAGATGAAGATAATAAACAGACAGGATTTATGGAGAACTCTCAAAGATATAAAGCAATGAGAGAGATTACAGATCAGACAAATGTGAAATATGGTAGCCATCACTTAAAATGAGCACCTAACAACAATGTACATGTAATTCTCAAATGTCACTCAGAAAATTACTGAATAAAAAGAACTATACCAACAAAAATCAAGGTACATAACTCCTTTGGCCCTGCTCATACTTCACAAGACACTGTAACTATAAATTCAATTTAAGGTAAATACAACCAATATTAACATTTATTGTCTACGATTATATTCCAGGTCATCTGTTGAATGCCTTGAACATCTGTAAAAAATGAGCAGGATACATAGTCATCAGTCAAGGTTAGTTGTTATTTAAATGTTTCACACTAAAATAATTCTAATTGCCAAATGGAGGCCAAATAAACTCATAACTCTTGTGCAAAGAATCCTTTGCTCATCCCACCTGGATAATAATGGACGCCTGTCTCAAATGGAGGAAATGCTGCCTACACAGCAAGACCCTGAACCATCGTTGCAACACTATGATTCTACGGAGCACCTCTTGGTGAAGCAGATCTTGTAAGTATTGTCGTTCTTTCTCCTTTAGGAAGACCTACCAGAAGGAAGAAAGACAGGTAATAAAGCTTAAGAAGAAATGAAACATTTATTTCAAGAATTATCATTTCTAATTCTTTTAGAGAAGAACAAATATAATGGCAAACATGTAAATAAAGTACTGATGAGTATTTCTACAAATTGATCTAAAGGAGTCATTCTCAAACTGAAAAGAATACTAGAAATGGGAGGGGAAGGTGCCAGAGACTATGACACATTGTTGCTGTGGGGAAACCACTGCCTTAATGAATCAATGTACTAGTAACGACATCATTTTTCGAGAGCGTTGGCGATGGGGAGGAAGAGTAAGAACCACAGATGTTGAAAATTGTTCGTAACATGAATAAACCAGTGATAACCATTTTTTTCAAGTCCAACATGCATTAAAGCTTCTTATTCTCAAAGTTAGATATCAGTTTATTAACTTTTTCATTCTATTAGGAAATATTTTGTATGTTTAAGGTTATACAAAGACAAACCAGACATACCCCTTTGGAAACAGAATTTAAATTCACCTTTAAAGCAGATACATAGCATATACACAAAAACAAAAAGAATAAACTAACAAGGATTACAAGACAGAAAATCTCACCTAAGCAACAAAAGGAGTTGCAAATAAAGAAATGCATAACAATGGAACACTATGTCTTCATAAAGAGTGTTCTTTCTATTATGAAGCTGTAATATGGAGGTTCTTAACCAAGAGGAAGATGTCTAAATTTAAAGTTATCAGAGGATTATTACTGAGCAGGAAGCCAACATAAAGAAGGGAGTGTATTAAGCTGATTTTAATATTATGCTTAGAATAAGTTAAATGGAATAACTAAAATAAACTAGAAATAAACGTGTAAATGAGCAGCATTTTATTCTAAGAGTAATGAAAATGAGAAGGGCTAAGGAACAAATATAAAATGGAAGCAGCAGGATTGGAGAAAGGGGAAAGATGGGAGAATCATTTGTAAGGAAAAAAAAAAAGAAATGAAACTTTGTAAAAGGATTAAACAAAACAGTAAGGCAAAGAAGATCATGGTTTTTAGCCTGAGAAACTGGAAAAAGGGTGACAAAGCAGTTGAGAAATTAAAGGCAGTAGAGTGAATCTGGGTAACTTTACTGTGGACAAGTTGAGATGACGATTACAGTACAGTATCTAGTCAGAGATGGTTTAAATCACACCTAAAGTTATAGTCAGAACTAGAGCATCGGCCACAGTCCTGTGAGCAACACTTACAAAATCTCAGCCTAGTCAATTTCCTTATGGCATCTGATACAATCTTTTCATAAAAACTCAAATGGGCAAAGACTGACATTACTATTAAAATAAAAAGCACACTCAGTTTTGACAAAGGCTGTATATATTATTTACCATGGTTTTTCCAACTTGATAACTATCGGGATTAAGACTTATTTTCCTGAAGAAATCCTGAATGTTAAATTTGGATGCAATAGTATTTCGGGGAAGAAGTACATGGAAGTGGTTCACAAAATCCTGAAAAGTAAAAAGAAATATTGTAAAATCACAAAGGAACTGTATGTAAGCAAGATACAAAACTAATTATCCATTTTTAAATCTTTTTTTGCATTCTTTTAAGAAAAAAAAACAGGGTGAAACCAAAAATTGCTGTAAAGGGTTAACTTAAAAAACACAGGAAGGGAGATACTGAGTTCTACATACTATATTATCAAGTGGAAATGGAAGAGAAAGGACAAAAGCTAATTATTCTTTTTGAGAAAGCTGTATGAAAGGGCAAACAAAAAGATGTTTAACAAGAACTTGAAATTTATAGCCAGCAAAAAAAAAAAAAAAGCCTATGTGGCAGCTAGAATGAAGCTTCCTTTCCCAGTACAGCAAAGAAAGGCTCCACTATAATTTCTACACTCACAGTAGCAATAATGGATAGTAACAACTATGTACCATCCTGGTAGTTTCCTATGAAAACCCTGCTGAGAAAACTTCAGAAATAGCCAAATGAAATCTTTTCTTTTGACTAGATAATTCTGGTTGAACTGTTTCGGTTATTGCAGGAATCAGGTGAAGAGTTGCTACGTTATAAGCAAATTTATTGTTAGCAAACGTTACAATCAAATGAGAATAGCAAACTCGTGGATTCCACTATAACAGAAGCTTAACGGGACTGAGGGCATTCCATGGAATGCTCTAATGTTTTAAGAATCTGTGTACAAGAGGTAGAATGGAAAAGGAGAGTTAAGGGAAAATGAAAAAAATAAGCCCCAAAGAAATATTAAGCAAGATAGGTGGTCATGATTTACTTAATGTGGGTATGTATTTCAGTATCATTATAGAAGCATATAACCTGGAAAGAATATTTGGAGCTGTATCCTGATTGGCGAATTCGAACTGTTTCTAGCATCCCAGTGTATCGAAGCTGTCTTAGTACCAAAGCATCGTTGAATCTTAAGGGCAACTAAAACAAACAAATAAAATAAAAGGTTAACCTGGAATAATGGATCTCCAGATTAGTATCTATATTATAAGCATGGCTAACTTTTGAATATCTAGGCATTGACTAAAGGTTATCAGGTTAAGACACACTTAAGGTGATCAGATAAACTCACCTCTCAGCTAGGAGCTTAAGAAAAGTTCTGACTGTCCAATGCTAGAGAAAAGAGGGAACCCAAGTTTCCAGGCTTCTCTGGCTGTGAAGGCAGAGGTCCCTAAAAGCTAAATGGGACTGTAGTTGCCCACAAAGCGTCACAGTCCAGTGACTACAAAATTTGCAACATTAATCTTCTTGTACATAATCTATAGTGAATAGCTGTTTGTATTTTTGTGTTTCATTTGATTTTATCTATTATCTCACTAAGAAACCATCTGAGACCCACCCCCTCAGTCGCCTTGGTTAATGAGCTGGTAGATTCTTCTTCCAATGCAAGGTGAAGAGTAGTTTACTTTCCTAATACTTTTTGTTGATCATGCTGATATAAAACAGAGAAAAACAAAAAAAATGGGTGGTTCCTCAGAATTAATCCTTTCATTACATAGTAACTGAAGAGGAGAGGTAAATAGGAGGTAGCTACTCAACATTAGTCTTAACACCCCACTCCCAGATATCTAAGTAGGTGTGTTTTAACACATTCAAAAAAGATGTATCTGGAGCTTATGAAACTACATCCTGATCTCTAAATATTATTTCCAGTGTTCCTCTGAGGCAATGCCAGATATTTTCTCTTGCAGTTAGATGGGGCATAATAGCTAACAAAGAAAAAAATCAAGTGAGCAATTTAAGCTAAATAACAATAGCAATTAACATTTATTTAGTGCTTATTCTGTGGCCAGAAATACTTCATGTATAGTGAGGTCTCAGTTAATTGAACTGAATTTATATTAAACTTTAAAGAAGTTTCTTTTCTTCTAGTCACTGTAAGAGAACAGTTTACATTTACTAACTACTTAGTAAAGGCAGAAACTAAGCAATTCACAGATACTAATTTACGTACACTCATAAAGCACTATGAGATTAGCCCTATAATTTCAGCACATCATTGCACAGATGAAAATACTAAAGTCATGGAATAATGAAGTCACTTATCTAATGTCACAAAGCTGTTAAATGGCAGGGCTGCAGACTCCTTCTTAAAAATTAAGAAAGCTGAACATAGTTCCTGCTATATTTTAGCTGTTTCAGTTGGGAACTATTTTTTCCTATGATGAACATGAAGGTGACAAATATTTACACTAATTTCATTTTGAAAAGCTCTAATTGAGGAAACTGTCATTGAAAAGGGGGATCAAGAGTGTCCATAGTGTCATCCCTAAGTTATAGGGACAAAAATCTCTAAATATGAAAAGTACTAAGCAATTTCTTCAAGAGGTATGACATATACCCAAACAAGAGAGATTAAAGTTTAGAGTAACAAAATTTTGAAGGGCAGACTGCAGGATGTCCATGTGTTCCCAAAAGGTGATAATTAGCCAGGAGACACTTCTCCTTCCCAGTAAACATCTGTTTGCACCAGAGAGACACCTCTACCCTCCGGCAAAAAAAAAAAAAAAAAAAAAAAAAGCTGTAAAACCCAATTTCCAACTTCATCAGCAGGACCACTGGTTTTCTGGTCCTGCTGCATGCCTCCATGTAGCCATTCCCTTCTCTTCTCTACAAATAAAATCTTTCTGACTTTTGCTGCTCAAGTCTGCCTTTGCTTTCTATCTAGAGCAGACCAAGGATCCTCAATCAACCAAAAATTCCTGCATATCATCTTGGCAACCACAAAGCGATACTTCTTCTTCACCTGAGGTCAATACAGGTTGCACCAAACTGGAGGGGACTACTTAGTTAGTGGCCGTGATTGTCTGGTACTCCAATGGAGTCTGTCCTCCAGGAGAGTCCCCCCACCCCCACCCCCACAGCTTAGCTACAGTGGATCTCTCAGGCCAACGTTCTCTCTTACTAAGGAGAGTTTCTCCCTGGGGAACCTAGGGAAAAAGCTCTGAACCCTCTACAGCTGTTAAAGCAGGCAACCCATTACCAGTCAGGGGCTTATACTGGACTGCCAATGCTACTTGGGCAGAGCTAAAACCTCAGCGCACCCAAGGTTTTTTTTTTCCTCTCAACTCTCGCCTCCCTCCCTCCTTAACCTCTATCCCTTTCAGCTCTAACCCACTAAGGAGGAGGTCCGAAAACAGCCTGTGGAAAGTTTCTCTTCAAGCTACAAGGCTACTCTGGCCAAAGCAACTCCCTGGTGAGACCTGAAGGCTGAAGATGTAACTTTCTGACCCTGAGGTCCTGAGCCCTGAGGCTCCAAAGGTAAGTATAGGAACCCCTCTGGCTATGCCTGTGGCTAACAGACAATCAGATCTCTACACTTTCTTCACAGTTCCCGTGGCCCGAGAGTGGAGGTCATCCCTCGCTTCCAGTACTGCCTGTGGCGGGATCAACCGGACAGCAGTGATGACTAATAATCCCTCATGTGTTGAGCCTGGAAACTCTTTTTCCCTCAGTCCTCAGCTTCTCCTTCTTCTTTCCCAAGTACATCAGGATGAATGGCCACCCTCCTTTGTTCTAGACATCAGTGGGCTTCCTTCTTCAGCAGAGACTGGAGAGATTCCTATATCCTCTGTTCAAAACCTAATCCTTAGACTATGTCCTCAGGAACTCTCAGGTCCCTTCTGCATCCCCCATTTCAGGTGAGTACACCAAGAAGAGCTGCTTTCTAACTTGCTCTGAACTGTTTTTGTCAGGCATCTGGGGGATCTGGCTAAGCAGGTTTCTATGGTCTTCCCTCAGGGGACAAAAGAGTGCTTTACCTGAGAGCTACCTAAGGAGATAAGAGACCTCAATGGTCTTCTCCAATTTTGTCCCTTATTGCAGCAAAAAAAAAAAAGGCCCTCTCTTTTCATAGAAATTTATATGTCTCACAGGATATACAGGGGGACAAAAAGTCTACCTCATCAAAAGTCCCCATCCATGCCTCCACAGGGGTCCTCTCTCTGGCCATGCAAGCCTCTCTTGGTTACTTTAGAGCCCCTCACTGATAGAGTTATTTTTAAATTACAAGCCTTCAGCTGGTAGAGGAGAACCAGGTACCTGGGTCGCAAGGCCAAACAGGAAAATAAGATGAACAGTAAAAAAAAAAAATTGATCAGGGTCACTCCAGCCAGGTGGCTGCAGCCATATGTACCTAAATATCTTCCCCACAACCTTAGCCACAGATGGCAAGGCAGGAGAGCACAGAAGAGAGGAACACCCTCTCCCACGTAGAGGATCTCCTTACCTGGGAACACCTGGGTAAAAGAAGAAAACCCCTATTAAGATGATCAATTTTCCCTTGCTTCCCTTTTTAGATGGGGAATCAAGCTTCTAGGATCCTATAAGGATCCCCCCTTGCCTGCTTACTAAAACATTAGAAAAACCTTGATCCAGAAAGTCAACAGAAGTGACTCAAGTTTTACTGCACCCAGGCCTGGCCACGATATCCTCCGGGAGATGGGGAAAAATGGCCAATTCTTCAATTAGACATGTTCTGTAAAAAAGTGGACTGAAGTCCCATATATTCAACTTTTCTTTTTCCTAAGAGACAACCCAGAATGGCTGAGCAAATGCAGGCTAGAAGAACCAGACCCAAAAAATATCTGATGCCGAAGGCCCCCCAACAATGTCAAAGGAGCCTCCCCCATGACAGAAGTCAAGTCTCCAGGGGACCCACAGGGGATACATCCTACCCTGAGGAGAATGGATGATGCCCCATCAGCTCCCCTCTACCTCTTACCCAGCTACCTCACACCCCCTGACATCATCCCACAGGACTCTACCCCTCCAGTTAATTCCCCAAAGGGATAGGGCTCACGCTCCTTTTAGATGAAGTGAACTTAAGAAAATAAAAAGGATTTAGGGAATTACACAGAAAACCCAGATCAGTACATCCAGGCATTCAGAGAAGTCAGCCAAAACTTTCAACTGAGCTGGAAGGATGTAATGCTATTGTTATCTCAGACACTCACTTCTCTGGAGAAACAGTGAGTATTAGATCAGGCAGCTGCAGCTGGGGACAATTATCACTTAGATAAATGTGGCCCTACTGGCCTATCTCAGACAAAGCCTTGGAGGAGGAGGAGGAAGAGAAAAAGGAGGAGGGGTAAGAAAGAGACATTGGATACCTAAAAGGGAATCCTAATTCCCAATTCCCACAGGAGACCAGGCAATGCCTAGATATGATCCTAAGTGGGACCCTGAGAATGACAAGGATGAATGGACTGGACCCATAACCACTTCATCCACTGCATTCTTGAGAATCTAAGGAGAGCCAAGATAAAACCCCTTAATTACTCTCCAGTCATGGCTGTACAGCAAGGACCCTAGAAACCCCAGTAGCTTTCCTATAGAGACTTAAGGATGCTTTACAAAAGCATACCAACATTGTAGCAGAGTCACAGGAGGAGGAAATCATCCTAAAAGATAAATTTCTAACACAGTCATCCCCAGATATTTGTAGAAAGCTTCAAAAGCTGGTGGCTGAAGGGAACAGAAATCTACACCAATTGGTCCATGTAGCCACATATGTATACTGTAATAGGGAAATAGAAAAAGAAAAAAAGAACCTGGAAAAGGAGAAGAGAAAGGATAAACAGCAGGAGGCTCTGATCACAATGCTCCTAGAGGTTCCCCTGGGGCATAGTCCAAACCTGAGGACATGTTTTCAATGTGGACAGGCAGGCCATTTTAGGAGGGAGTGCCCCTGGAGGAACCACCTCCAGGACCCTGCCCCACCTACCAGGGAAATCATTGGAAGGTATGCTGTCCTCAGTTCCCAAGGGAGCCAAGGCCAGAGCCTCCCACCCAATGATGGGTCCTGGGGCTTTCCATCCAGGCACCTGTGACCACCATAAAAATCAGAGGAGTCCTGGGCAGTACTAACTATTGAAAAGCACAGGGTCAGCCTCCTTATTGATACTGGAGACATCTATTCCTTCCTTTCCCAGACCCAGGTCCTCCAAGAAAGTTACTGTTTGGGGCACATCAGGCCAGCCCCTAGAGTGTTATTTCACTCAGCCTCTAGCCTGCTCCTGGTTAGTTTCTACTTCTCTCACTCCTTTTTAATTGTCCCAGAAACCCCTATGCCCCTGCTAGGGTGAGACCTTCTATCTAAATTGGGAGTGCAGCTCTTTACCCCTAGGGGAGTACTTTTGCTTGCCCCGGTAGAGGAACAAGTAGACCCCATGGTGTGGATGGATGGACATACTGTGGGATGGGAATGAATGGTGGTCCCAGTCCTAATTTATCTCAGGGACCCTTCTTGGTTTCCCCATTGAAAACAACATTCTTTAAGAACGGATCTAATGTCCACATATGAGGGACAACATACGATTTTTGGTCTTTTGGGCCAGGCTAACCTCACTCAGAATGATGTTCTCCAATTCCATCCATTTACCAGCGAATGATAACATTTCGTTCTTCTTCATGGATGCATAAAATTCCATTGTGTATAGATACCACATTTTCTTAATCCATTCGTCAGTGGTGGGGCATCTTGGCTGTTTCCATAACTTGGCTATTGTGAATAGTGCCGCAATAAACATGGGTATGCAGGTGCCTCTGGAGTAACCTGTGTCACAGTCTTTTGGGTATATCCCCAAGAGTGGTATTGCTGGATCAAATGGTAGATCGACGTCTAGCTTTTTAAGTAGCCTCCAAATATTTTTCCAGAGTGGTTGTACTAGTCTACATTCCCACCAACAGTGTAAGAGGGTTCCTTTTTCCCACATCCTCGCCAACACCTGTTGTTGGTGGTGTTGCTGATGATGGCTATTCTAACAGGGGTGAGGTGGAATCTTAGCATGGTTTTAATTTGCATTTCTGCAAAAGAACTTTTTAAAAGACACCTGTCCTCAATGCAAAGGAACTAATGCAGAAACGTTAAAGTGACAGAGGCCAATAGGAGAAGGGGACCAGGAACTAGAGAAAAGGTTAGCTAGAGAAGAATTAACTTAGAATGTAACACATATGTATAGGAAAGTGATGTGTGTAAACTCCCTGTATAGCTATCCTTATCTCAACCAGCAAAAACCCTTGTTCCTTCCTATTATTGCTTATACTCTCTCTTCAACAAAATTAGAGATAAGGGCAAAATAGTTTCTGCCTGGTAGTGAGTGGGTAGAGGGAAGAGTGAGGGGGTGGGGGAAAGGGAGGGGGCAGGGGGGAGAAATGACCCAAACATTGTATGCACATGTGAATAAAAGAAATTTATAAAAAAAAAGGAAGATCTAACAATTTGTTGCTTACATGAGACCCTTCTCATTGACAGAAGCAAGCACTGGCTTGGGGTGAAAGGCTCCTGAAAACAGGCAGGAGTAGGAAAAAAAAAAAAAAGAAACCCTCTCCCCCAGGACTAAGCTCCTCTCTACTGCTCTTCTCAGGCTCAGAAACACCCCAGGCAAACAGGGACTGACCCCTTTTGAATCTCTATAAGGCAGGCCCTTCCTAACCAATGACCTCCTTGTTGACCAAGAAACAGCTCAGTTAATCTCCATGTCATTCAACTTGCTAAATTCCAACGAACACTCTCAGAGATCAAACAAGCCACCCCCAGAGAGGATATAAAGGAACCCCCTCTCTTTTGCCCTGGTGACCTAATCCTAATAAAGTCTCCAAATCCAACCCAGGACTTAAAAACACCCCACTTTGGGAGGGGCCATATCCAGTTATTCTGTCTACTCTGACGACATTGTGAGTGGCTGGCCTGGATTCTTGGATCTATCACTCAAGAGACAAGGGCTGGAATCCCCCTGTGAACATTACATCTCCATCTCTGGAAAATCAATGGGTTTTTAAACCTCTCTCGAGCATTTGCCCCGCCAAAATCTCCACTTAAGGACTCCTGGGTCTTCTATGAGAGACCAACAGCTGCCCACTTGCTGGCATGTGTCCTATTAAATTTCTCTCAGGGTCCTTTCTCTCCTTTGATATTCAGGCCAGGTAACTTCTCCTATGCCATGGTTCCTCTTACAGGAGTCCCATGGAAGAACCAGCCTACTATGTCTTACCATTGACTTGGGTTCATCTCTCAGACAAAAATTCAATGTTTAACGTTTCTGTCTCGGACAGCTATACAACAGTTTGTCATTCATCAACGGAAGGCCTAGGGCCTACATATCAAAGAAATGACATGTCTGATTTTACCACCCTTAAAGGTGATGATCATCTCACAACCAGTATGAATAACTCTAAGGATCCCACTTTTATGGGCCCCAATGTGCTTAGAGCCATTACTTTTACTTGTGTTTGGGCCTTGCATTTTAAACTTACTTGTCAAGTTTGTTTTCTCTTGCCTAGAATTCATCAAACTACAGATGCCCCTGATGGAGATGGAAACAATCTACTACTACAGTCCCCTTAATAACCCCTCTCATGGTCAGCCCTGATGCTGTGGGCCCCTCCATTGCCCCGTTAGCAGGAAGTGGTCACTGAACAGACTTCCTATATCCTAACAGAAATTAGGAGGGACTTGAAGGGCGGACTGCAGAATGTCCACGTGTTTCCAAAAGGTGATGATTAGCCAGGGAGACACTTCTTCCCAGGAAACATCTATATGCACCAGAAAGATATCTTCGCCTGGGGGCAATTAAAAAAAAAACCAAAAAAAAAACTACAAAACCCAATTTCTACCCTGACCCACAGGACCTGCTAGTCCCACTGCATGTCCCCATGCAGCCATTCCCTTCTCTTCTCTACAAATAAAATCTTCCTGACCTTTGCTGTTTGAGTCTGCCTTTGCTTTCTACCTAAGAGTGAACTAAGGATCCTCACCCTTGGTCACTCCTGTGTATCATCTGCATATCATTTGTGATGGGATTTCAAGACATCTTTGCTTCTCAAATTCTAGGAGATGATAAATCAAAGGCACAGAAACCTTATAGACCTTATAATGTGGAAATTAGAATAGCTACAGAAAATACTTACAGAACACTATTTTCCTTACAAATTTATAAATAGTTGCTGTTTATTCTAAAAAGAATTTAAATCATAGTTTGAAGGTCATTTTTACCTTTTCAGCATTAGAGCGAATACATTTTACAAAATATGGTTCTGCTTGACCAAGTGTCTCCATCAGCTTGCTTAATGATGCCTGAAACACAAAGCAATGTAACTAGCACCTCTTGCTACAAATGCTTGATAAATATAAACAGTAGTTGGCAAAATATGTAAAACTTTTTCTTTTTTTTTTTTTTTCAGTGTGCCCTAGGCATGAAACAGTTTGGCCACTGACCCAGGCATCAAGCTAGGATGAACATAGGACTGTCATCTGCTCTGCCCCTGACTGACACAACAGCAACATCACCAATGGGGTATCTCTTCACCCATTACCAGGGGGTTATACAAAAACTTTCTATACATACATAGAAGGGGTTAGTTTCTGGAAAGCAAATCGTGTATGTTCCAATTCAGGTTAAATTCAGAATAATTAAGGAGAAGGATGGTGGTTTAAACTTGAAGATGACAATCTGACAATAGTCAATTTTGTAGACCTATTTCAGAAGTATAAGAACAGAATAATTTTTCTCACTATTCTTCACATTTCATTAAACAATTTTATTTGAACTTATGCTTTCTGTTGTTGGTGGCAGTGGTATTGGTGGTTTTTAAAGATTATGTTTTTGAGAGTCTTGCTGTGTAGCTGAGGCTAGCCTACAGCTTGCTAGCCTTTTGATTGTCCCAAATGCCTCCTGAGTGCTGAGATTACAGATATGCATTGTCATGCCTGGTTACTCATGCATTCTTTTTTTAAAAATTCATTAGCATGTAATAGTTGTCCAGGGAGATACACTGTGGTATTTACATATGCGCTTACAATGTATCTTAGTTAGGTTCTCCCCTCCATCGTTCTCCACAAAGTACATAGTGTCCCCCCTTTTATTCCTGGTCATGGTAATTTGTACCTTCTCTTTTTTCATGATTAGTCTAGCTAGAGGTTTATCAAATTCTTGATCTGTTCAGAGAGCTAACTTTTTTTATTTCTGTGACACAGCATGAAATACAGTATGATTGTGCAGAGCACTGTCATTTCCCAGACTTTCATAAACATTTATCAAATGACAGAACTTTCAAGGTGATTTGAGAAGAACATAAGAAGTGATTAGAGAAGCATTTTGAAGACAGTTATTCTGGAAGTTACTTGGTTAATGTCTGTTTACTCTAAAATGCCAAAAAAAAAAAAAAAGCTGTATTTCTATATGTACAAGAAACTGAAATAAATACACAAAACTTGCAATCTGTTTAGTTAAATATTGACAGCAACAGAATGAGGTTTAAATAGAAAAAAAAAAGTCCATCATTACACTAGCAGTGATGTACCTGGGCAGAAGGGTTTAAAGGTGATTTTGTTTGTATTATCAATATTCTGCTTACTTTCTCCTCACACTGAAAATAATGAATTAGTATCCGAAAACATGGACAAAGAGACAGATGACAATTTTTCCATCACTGGTACTTATTTCCAAAATGACCAGTCACAAGAACTATATCCCATTCAATTATCAATTTTTATCAATGACAATCTGAAAGAAACATTCTTATTTGGTATAAGGAAAACAGGAAATAACCTGAAACTGGGCGCTGATACTAGGAGGTTTCTTCTTCTTATGCAAATGAAGAAGAGACTTGGTAATGCGATCTTGTAGAGTCAGTCTTGTCAGATGCTTCAAAGAATTTACCTCTAGCAAGTGCTGAAAAGAAAGGAAAGAATTCATATAAATTAATCTAAGGATAAGAAAACATCCTCAGTCAGTTTCATCATTTTCTATCTATATGATCATTCCTATACAATGATGATGGAAAAGGAAAGTTGATTTTTAATATTTATTCTACCTTCCTCTTCCTTCCTCCAGAAGCTAGGCAACTAAAAATTAAACTACAGTTCCCAAATTCTATTGCATCTAGAGTTCTGGATGTGACATAAGTTTGCCAATGCATGTAAAGGTACTTCACTTTTTTGCCATGAAGTCTCCACCTTTTATGAAAGGATAGTGCTTTATAAAAGAGGCCCAAGGGAGCTGCGCACCCCTACCACGTTAGGACAAACAGAAGGTGCCATCTATGAAGAAAAGGACCATCACAAGACATCACAAGATATCAAATCTACTGGCACCTTGGTTTTGAACTTCCAGTCCTCCACAACTATGAACAATGAATTTCTGGTTTTTATAACCAGACTGAGGTATTTTATTATAGTGGCCTGAACAAACTAGGGTATTTCTTATGTTGTTAGAAAGGATTAAAATGGGTTTTGAGACTGAGTGACTACAAAAGTTCACAATAAAATCATCTGAGGCATAACACTGAGAGATGAGCAGGATATCAAAGTAAAAATATATGACAGGGCAGTGCAGCCACCACTAAAAGAAGGTAACTTCAAAACCAGCTCAGTTAGAAAAGGAGATTTAATACAAGTGATGGTTTCAAGCTGTAAGAGGAAACAAATTCTACAAGGGGAAACAAAAAAAAGAAGTACCATCATTATGGCGTGATCATTTTGTGGAAGAATAAACTTTAACCCAAAAAGGAAGTTTCCTCATTTCAAGTGGACATTTCTCTGCAGCAATCTGGGTAGCCTGGTATCCAAAAGGGAACATCTGCATGTCACCTCAGAGAAGAATACATACAAATAAACGCTGAGTGTGTCTCATGCCAAGGGTTCTGATGAAGAGCTCCTATGATGACAACGAACCTGGAGAATTTTGACTGACTACAAAACCAACTCGGTGTCATCCCTTTTCCAACACTCAGACCCACTACATTATCCAGATTTTTTAAACAGAACTTATTGTAAGACTGAATGCGTGAGCTGAGACTTCCATACACAGAATTCCTCAGGATAAGGGCATGGCTTACCTAAGATTATACCACGCAAATAATATTTAAAAGTTCGAATGATTTAAAGACAATACTTCTAAGTTTAAAAGATATATATTCAATGAAGGAAAAAGCTCAAAAAATTTGTGTAACTCTAAATTCCTGGGCTCTGATGAAGTATTTTTCCAACAGCTTAATTTTATTGACACACATATACCACACAAACCACAAATATCTGGTGTGACTGGTGTGAGTTTTGACATTATGTGCAGTTCTGACGCTGGGCAGTACTGGAAGGTAGGGTCTTTGAAAGGTGATTAGGTCTGTGGAGGAACTCATGCCTTTCTTGGGGAGTGAGGTCATACTCTCTCAGAACTGGGTCAGGTACTGCACAAGGGAGTTACAACACAGACCACACCTCATGCTTTGTCTCCTGGAGCCCCCTTGCCATTGGTGCAACTCCAGCATGGTGTGATGTAGCATGAGGCCCTCTCCAGATGTGGCCACCTGAGCTTCAACTTCCAGCCTCTAGAACCATGAGTTAAATAAACTTCTTTCCTTGATAAATGATGATTATTATGTCAAAGAACTAAGGCAAAGCCATGGCCTTAACTGAGATAAGAGGTATGTCCATTCTTCCAGAGTTTTATTGTTGCTTGTGCCCCTTTACGATTCTCCTTCTTTCCCAAAGCCTACATGTTGTTTTCTGTCAATCTCCAGTCTACTTTATGTCACTGGATATTTTTGTTTTATTTTCAATTGGGAAATAACAATTGTACATATTTACAGGGTACGACGTGATGCTATAATTCATGTATACATTGTGTAATGAATGATTAAATCTGTCACTTAGCCACACCTACTATCTAACATACTTATTTTTTTATGGTGAGAGTATTTTAAGCTTTACTTTTATAGCAATTTTGAAACAAATAATCTAGTGAAACACTATGACTTACTCCTCTTGTGTTACTGAAACTCTAACATAAACCCTTCTTCCATCCACACACATCTCCCTAGCCGTTGGTAACTACCACTCTATTCTCTACTTCTATGAGGCCTATGTTTTCAGATTTTGCATGCACGTGAGATCCACCACTATACAGCTTTTTTTTTTTTTTGGCTTAATGTCTAAGCATAACGATCTTCACATTCATCCACGTTGTTGCAAATGACAGCATTCCCTTCTTTTTTAGGCTGAGTAGTATTCCACCATGAATATAAACCACAAATTTTTACCCACTCGTTCACTGATGGGCACTTAGGTTGTTTCTCTAACTTGTTCTTTACCACATTTTTTTTTTTTTTTGGCAGTACTGGGGTTTGAACTCAGAGCTGTAGTGCTTGCCAGGCAGGCACTCTACCACTTGAGCCACACCTCCAGCCCTGTTTCTCTAACTTGGCTATTGTGACCATGGCTGCAATGAACACTGCAGTGCAGACATCACTTTGTTATGCTGATCTCAATTCTTTTCAACAGATACCCAGAAGGATTGCTGGATCATAGGATATTTCTGTTTCTGGAGTAATATCCACAGTTTTCCAAAATGGCTGTACTGTACATTCCCATCAACACAATAAGGAGCTCACATCCTAACCAATGCTTACTCCTTCATGTAGACATCCTAGCAGACACCAGTGATATCCCATGCTGGTTTTTATTTGCATTTTACACACACACACACACACACACATTTTATTTGCATTTTACACACACACACACACACACACACACACACACACACACACACACACACACACACAGAAAGAGAGTTGGCCACTTGTAGGTCCTCTGTGGAGAGATGTCCATTCAGGTCTTTCGTCCATTTTTTAATTGGGTTATTTTCTTACTGAATTGAGTTCACTGTGTATTTTGGATAATAACCCCTTATTACATATATGATTTGCAAATATTTTCTGCCAATCTTAACACTTCATTCTGTTAGTTGTTTCTTTGGTATGCTTTTTAGTTGGATGCAGTATCACGTGTCTATTTTTGCTTTGGGGGTCAAATCCAAAAAATCATGGCCCACACAAATGTCATGGAGCCTTAGTAGTTTTATAATTTAAAATGCTACATTTAATTTGCTAATGCACAGAGCTGAACTTTCTATATGAGGTGAGATAAAGTTAAATTTCATTCTCCCACATATGGATATCCGGTTTATTGAAGAGACTGTTCTTTTCTCACTGTGTGTACTTGGCACTTTGGTCAAAAGTAAATTGACAATAAATGTGTGATTTGTTTCTGGGCTCCTTATTGTGTTCCATTATGGACAGGTCTGGTTTTATGGGGGTTTTTTAAATGCCAATTTAATGCTATTTTGACTACAGCATTCTAGTATGTACTCAAGTGGCATAATGTCTCCAGCTTTATTCTTTTGCTTCAGACTGCTTTGGGTATTTGGGGTCTTTTGTGGATTTATATGTATGTTAGGATTGCTTTTTATAATTTCTATGAAAAATGAAATGAACTTTGCAGATAACTTTAAGTAGTATAGCTATTTTAACAATATTAATTCTTCTAAAGAGTAGTATAGCTATTTTAACAATATTAATTCTTCTAAAGAGTACATGGGTACTCTTTCCACTTATTTGTATTGTCTTTATCTCATCAATGAACTAGAGTTTTTTGTATATAGATCTTTCACCTCTTTGGTTAAATTTACTACTACATATTTGATTTTTGATGCTATTATAAATGAGACAACTTTTTACTTTTTTTGGATAGTACATTTTTAGTTTACAAAAATATTACCAATTTTATGTTGATTTTTGTATCCACAAACTTTACTGAATTCATATATCAATATTAACAGTTTTTTACTATAGTTTTCTCTATAAGATCAGGTCATCAGCAAAAGATAATTTCACTTCTTCCTTTCTAATTTGTATATATATATTTTTTTAAATTTCTTTTTAATGACTATTTTCTCTGCCTAGCACTTTTAATACTATTTTAAGTAGAAGGCACCCTTGTCTTATTCTTATCTTAAAGGAAATTATTTCAGTTTTTCCCCCATTTAGTATGATGTTGGAAGTTGGTCTGAAACATATTTTGTGTTGAGGAATGTCCTCTACCTAATTTAAGGGCTTTTATCATGAAGAGATGCTGACCTGCACTGAATGGTTTTTCTACATCTACTTGCATATGGTTTTTGTCTTTTGTTCTATTTATGCAATGTATCACATTTATTGATCTGCAAATGTTGAACCATTCTTGCATTCCCGTGATCAATCCCACCTGATCATGGTGTGTAAGCTTTTAGATAGACTGCTGGATTCAGCTTGCTTTTATCTTGTTAAGAATTTGTGGCTTTTGTGCTTGTGTGTTGCTGGAACATGATCCATTTCCCCAGCAGCCATTGGTGTTAAGGATAGTTACAACCATGGTTTCCGGTGCATTAACAAACCCTCAGATAAGGAGTCTTCTGGTCAAGTGTCTATAGCTACATGTTGTCGAAGCATTCATTGTCTCTCTGCGGGTTGCAGCATTCTGTAACTTTGTTGTGGCTGAACCAAGAAAAAAGGCATATGAAGATTTCTACAGAAATTAACTCCATGAAAAATTTTGAGGAGATGGAGAAGGCTGCTATCTTCTAGAGTGCAAAGTGATTTGGGAATACAAAGAACTTCTTTGGATTGAATTCTGTAAGTCTGTAATTGACCTGTGCCCTGAACTTTTAGATAACATGAATATGTGGCTAAGGAATAGTTTCTCTTGATAAACAATGAATACTGTAAACAGTATATATATATATATATAAAAAACATCTATATTCATTAGAGATAGAGGTCTGCAGTTTTCTTTTTTTGCTGTGATCTTGTCTGGCTTTGGTATGAGGGTAATGATAGTTTCACAGAATGAATGTAG